AAGCAACTATCTTCTTCAACATGTCTACTATTTTTAAAAATAATAACTTAAAAAAGAGGAAGATGAGGGCCACTCTCTGGAGTGTCTGGCATGCCCTTCAAGCTGACTTTAAAAGGTGATTAATTACAGCGCTGTCTGCTCAGTTTCAAAAGTTCAAATTAAATGTACTTCAAAACTCTTATTAAAGGGAATCTATTTTCCACACCTGTCACTTATGAGAAGGGCTGATTCAACCCAAAATTATGAAAGAGGGAACGCTAATCATTAGAACTGACACACCCTACTCTACCGATTGAAAGAATCTTCTAATAACCTTTGAGTGGCCCTGTCTTAAGCACTCGGTGACTCCACGAGCACTCCACGAGTTCTGTGCTTTCAGAATTGATGTAATTCAAAGGTGGAAAGGACTTGAGAGCTAAGAGGCCCGGAGCCACGCCGCCGAGCCCTCAGGGAGAGGGGATCGTGAATGCACCGTGGTGAGGCGAGTACTGGATCTGTTACAGCGGCAGGCGGCAAAAGGACGCTGAGGGCCAAAGGCAGCGCCATGCCTGTTTTTGCAAATAAAGTTTTATTGGAACCCAGCCTCACCCATTTATTTACATATTCTCTAGGGCTGCTTTCACTCCATAGCTGCGGACTCCAGCAGTTGCCGCAGAGACAGTATGCCCTGCAAAACCCCCAGCTAATTCGCTCTCTGACTTCTTTAGCAGAGGGGCCGAGCCCCGTCTCCGCCACCCGCTGCCAATGCTGGCGGCACTTTAGAATCTGTTCAGACAACAGGATAGGGAGCCGGGCCACCCTCGAAACCTTCTTTCAGCCCTGATCTGCCAGCAGGGGACCGAGGAATCAGCATTTGTAAACAAGGCGATTTTAACGCTCTGCCGGGTTACGAATGACCGCCTTACATCATGCTGTCTCTAAAGCACATTACCTTGAAAACACACTTCAGGCTGTAAGTGCATTTTCACAGGGGATAGGGGACCGCATAAAGCCCTCCCGAGCTTCGCTTCGCAAACCTTTGCCAGCATCCGCGTCCCCGGGAGGGCCTCTTCGAATTCACTGCTGGCCCCACGCCCGGAGATGCTGATGAGGAGGCCTGGGTGGGGGGCGGGTAGGGCTGGAGAACGGGCATTACTCGCCAGCTCGCAGGTGGTGCCGGCGCTGCAGACCCAGGACCACTCTGCAGCACACTGACTTCCATCGAAAGGGCTTGTATCCCTAACGAGAGAAAGTCAAGTCGCGGGAGCCACAGGATGGGGTCGGGGATAGACTTTCGGGCCGGCCACTGGGCGTGTAGCAGCCTCCACTGTGAAAAGCCTCACTCCTCTGCTCTAGTCCCCCTTGTCCTCACCTCTTCCAAGCCTTCTAGAAGACTCGAAATCAAGCCATTCTTGTTCTGGATCTCCACTCCTGTGTAGGTTTCCCTTATTGTTTTTTTCTTTTTCTAAAAATTTCCTAAGGACCGTTTTGGAGCTTAGTAACTGTGTTCTGAATGGAGAGAGGTGGGATAGTTGGTCAGAATTTGCGGAATGAAAGGAAACGTTCTAGGTCGCAAAGTAGTTCAAAAAGCCCGGCAGATGGTGAATAAATACGTGTGGAAACAATGAGCGTGAAAACACACAATGATGAAAAGGCAACAGAGAGAGGCAACACAGAGGGCCTTGGAACCACAAAAAGGATTTTATTTCGAACTAGAAAGCAACAGCAATGGCCAGACCAGTTAGGACCGAGGGCGTGGCAGCCTGATGCAAGTACCAGGGGCTGCGTTTGTTGGGGTGAAAGGAGCGGCCTACAGAGTCGGCTTGGCATTTCCCAGCTAAGCCGATCGCATCCACATCCTCGTGGATGCCAATCCCCGCATTCCCACTGACACAGGCTGGGGCTGCTTTCCAGATTCCAGGCTTTTACCACGGTTTTGTGAATATATATATTTTTTAAAGTGAAGGAGCCACTGCAGTGAAGGTTTTGCAGTGGTGTCTCCTTTTCTTTCGCTCTCGGGCATTGAACCAATGATAGGAACAGTAAAACATATTTGTGAGAGTTTTGCTTTGAAGAACCCCAAAGAGCAAGATTCCCCCCCCCCCCCCCGCAGCACCACTGGTATTTTGCCCGGATGCTGTTGAGCAACATCCCTGGTCTCTACCCACTAGACGCCAATAGCACCCTCTCCCAGACATTGCCAAATCGCCCCTTCGCTGAGAAGCACAATTTCAAACACATCCTCCTGCCCCCATCATTGTGGTCTGTCTCCTTTTTAACATTTGGTAAGGGTAGACCAGATCATCAACGTCCCAACATCAACAGCGCCGGTAGGCGAGCGTGCACGTGTGTCTCTCTTCAGGCACCGCACAGGTGCGTGGAGCCGAAACAGAATCCCCCGTTCACCGGACAGCACTGGTTCAGTTCTTGGGAAGTTTAGGGTCAGTTATCTCAGTACCGCGATCAACTAGCGCATGTGCCATCAGGCCATTTCCTCTTCTCCAGCAGACATCCTCACCAACATTTGCAGTCAGTTTTTGAAGTCTTTTCTTTTTTTCAAGCTGGGAAGAACATCTTCACCAATGCCATTCTCCTCTTAATCCATTTGGATTCCTACTTAAATTATATGGCCAGCCACTCTTGACGTTGGATCCAGGTTTCTTCATTTGTATCCACCAGGAAGAGAGGTACCCTGTTTCTGAGTTCTGTTATGAGGACTGGCTATAGAATTTTGGGGGCCCAGCGCAAAATGAAGGTGCAGGCCCCCTATTCAAATATTACACAGAATTTCAAGATGGCGGCGACAGCCCTCTTCACACACCCACGACATGAGACCTGGCAGCCTTGGTTGGTGCCACATCAGTTTGGCTGTATTAATGTAACTGGCACTGCCATCTCTTTTCCCCCTGTGTCACAATGCTTCCTATGAAGTCAGGACCTCGAAAACAAAATACTGTGACCCCAGTCCACTTAAAAGAATTGTACTGCAGCAATGTTTATGGCATGTATTTTTTAGGCTTAAAAAAAAATCCACATGGAAATCTTTTCTACATCGTTACAGTAATGAAGGTAAGCACTGTGGCCTTTCACCATATACATATTTTCCTGTAAATATGACAACATGGAAATAGTAACTGCTGCTATCCACAAGGTTTTTAAGTTAGCAAAGAGTGAGACTTCCACAACCAAATTATAACATAATCCCTCTTGTCCTTATAAAAATAGCCAAAACAGAAACTAAATGGCTTGCAGCGAAAATTCGAGTAGTAACTTCTTTGTATTGAAAAACATTATATTCATGGAAATATTGTCCTTGTAAATGCTTTACATTAACATCATAAGGCAAACTGTAGCGTTTACTGGTACCTGGCGACCATGATTTTAAAAAACTCAGAAGCTGAGTTTTAGACCCTTTTATTTAAAACCTGTTAGTGTACAAAGTGCATTAAAATATCCGTTATCCAGCTACCAAAAACAGTATGTAAAAGTTACAACCCTTTCAGTTCGTTCAGGGAAGGCAAATACACGTTGTTTTTATACCGTAAAAAAAAAAAAAGTTTCCAGAGAATGATTAACGTTTTTCCATTGAGGTGTCCATCTTTTAGATGTGGAACTGTCCTAAGTAGCTATCAAAATATTCATCTGGGTATAAATAATATAGTAAATATATAAACTCTATCTGTTAAGAAAAAGGAGAGCTTCTGGGGGGGTGAAGAGGACAGAAGCAGGTGTGACGCAGCCCATAGGGTCTAGGCTGGGGCTCACACAGCGCCATGCTGAAACAGTGGGTCTATGGACGGATCTCAGGGAGACAATGGGTTGATTTGGTTAAAAACAAAATTGCTAAAAACAATACCTAAATCCATTAGTCCGTTCAGTCTAAATGGCCAACTCAGTAGCTCAGATAAATATTTTCGTAGATGAAATGACTTATAGATGTCACACCCTTCGTCAAGATAGAACCAACGCTGGATTCCCAGTCCAAGTCCAAGGGCTGCTTATGAAAGCCTTGCTTCATGGACCATTCCATTTTACCAGATCAGCAGGCCCAGAATCCCACCTGACATTCTGTTAGCAGGTTCTATGAGCAGGTTCTAGCATGGGAATAGTGAGTTTGATTTTTTTTTTTTTGTTTTGTTTTGTTCTTTTTTTGTTTTTTGTTTTTTATTTTACAACTCTATGGTGAACTATACTAGAATACAGAGGGACCTCTACATCTTTCGAGATGTGTTTAATAAAAGTCTGTTTATAACTTTTGAGGCACATATACTAATAAAGAGTACTTTATGCAACGTCCCTTGTCATTACCAACTCATAAATATTAAGTATTTGGGGGTGAGTCATATCTGGACGTGGTAGAGACAGTCAGGGCCCTGTGTTGATGTCCTGGAGAACAAAGTCAATTCAAAGTGGTACTACCATTTGTAACAGAAAACGTTAATTTCCTCACCCCCAGCAACAAAAGAAGAATGATTTGGGGGAAAGAGAGACAGGACAGCTATTAAATGTAGTAAGCGATGTCACAGGCCTAAAGAAACTATTAAAAGGAAGAACGAAATAGATTTAGGTCATGAAAAAGAATCCTACTGCTGATCAAAGACAAATCAGCCTGTGACGTTTTGAATCATCAGTAGGATTCGAAGTGACTATTTTTAATGGCAAGCTCATTCTTAATGTTCTCCCAGAACCCTGAATCCTGGGAAGGGTGAGGTCACACATGGCCAAAGACTTCAGAACCTTTCTGTCCAACATGACCCCACCAGCCATCAGAGGGCGATTAAAGATTGGGCCATTCCCAAGTTAATTCTTTCCACTCTCCCTCTTGATCCAAGATGGTTTTGACACCACACTGAAAACACTTCAAAATAAAGCAGACTAAGAAAGCCCGTTTGCTGCCCTACTAGGTTCGAAACTATTTTTTATTTTTAAGGTAACTGCATATTCTGTTACGCACTGTCGAGGCAACGGGACCCACGATGGGATCAGTATGAGATACTGAGTATGAGATGTGAGGAGGTGAATAAACATACAAAACTATAAAAGATTTTTTTTTCCTCAAGCCACAGACCGTGATGACACAAAGGTTGTTGTAAAGAGCTGGTAAACTTCTGGGCCTCTTAATGTGCAAAACCAAATAATGTCTAAGAGTTGTAATTCCGGTTATGTTTCTTTTATAAATAATCTATAAATTTTCCTGCAAATACAGGAAAAATTTGAAGAAATTATTAAAGCGTGTACTTAATACAAAAGACAGTAAAAGGGGAGAATCGCCTATTTCGAGTCCTATCCTAGCTGATATTTCTGGACGCTTTTTGGCGACATTTAATCACTCTGGAAGCCTGTGCTTTCTCTGTCCCTGAAATGGTGGCCACGACCCTTTGTATTCCCCAGAAAGCAGCTCCCTGTGGCCAGGTGCTCACGGCAGCTGCTCTGTGCAGTCCAGATGGTCTGGGATGGGAAGGCCAGTTATAATGGTCAAGCACTTGTTCCACACTGTGAAGGTGGGGCACACAGGCTGCGAGAAGGTGATGTCGAAGGTGTAGAGGTGAATGGAGTTCAAAGCATCGTAGAAGGCGATGGAACCATTGTCATAGTCCAGCAGGATGCCGACGCGCCGGAGGTGGGGGGCTGGCTCGATGGGGGTTTCCTTGCTATTGTGTCTCACCACCCAGTTATTGTGACAGCGGCACAGCGCCCAGGAAGCAGAGTTCTTTCCAATCCACTCGTGCTTCGGGGCCGATTTGTAAGCAAGGCCAATGGCATACCTGCATGAACAAAACAGCGACGGCAAAAACCATGAGGTGGGTTGCATATGGACACTACCTCTTTTCTCTGGTTTTCAGGGGTCACGAAAACATGATTTGCTGTTTTCCCTGCTCATTGTTCAGTGAAAACTTGACAAAGGCCCTAACACAAGTGTTCCTCATCACCTTCCTCCCAAACACACAGTGCGCGGACATGGGCCGCTGTGTTAACTCATATTCCTATTTTTAGTTCGGACATTATAAGAGAATTAGAACTTTGTGCCTCGCTGCCTTTTGGGTTTTGTTTGTTTGTTTTTTACACGCATCTTGGCCCGCACAATGAATTCTCTAGGCGAGTGGTGTCCCATAGCAGTTTCTGCATGAGTGAAATGTTTTGCCCCGCTCAGTATGGTAGCCATGAGCCACATGTTTGAACTGCGCCTGTGGAGACTGAAGAACCAGACTTTAAATTTAGTTAATTTTAATTAAGTTGAATGATTTAAATTAACTGCATGTGGCTTAGGTCTACCATATTGAATAGCACAACCCTAGACTTCTCCTTCTGACCTACTTCGAATTTTTCGGCTGACCCCCATGTCTGTCATTTTCCAGGACTTCGAGTACAGTTTGCAACAGGTAATTGTGGAGAATGGTTTTCACTTCCAGTGTAAGTTCCTTGTCCTCTCCTAGATCTACAACACAGGGACACGGACAGCGTCCATCTCGGAGGGTGATTCTGGGGAGTAAAGGGAAGAATATGTGTAAAATCTGGGGCACAAGGCACGGCAAGGAATCTTGGATAACTGCTGTTTTATTATCTTTGCCGAATGTCACAGAACTAAGAAGTCTCAGAATCAGAATTTGAACCTAGGATGACTCAAAAAGCCGCAAATGTAGCTCTGTAATCCCGTCCCTCACCAGAAAGTATGTGATTCATCACTGCCAAGAGCCCCTCTGATTACATTTCTTACTACATTTTAAAAAATTCTGAATATCCCAGTTACTCCAAATATACTCTCAACGGCTCAAAAAAGTTAAGAATTCTTTCTACAGTCTTCGAAGCTCCTTAATCTCTTTTTACCCTGCTGAGGTATGCCTCCCTAACATTTGCAGGATTTTGGTGATTAAGATAAGCAAAGCCTATCATTCTTAATAAAGAATAAATGACTCAGAGCTCAACCTTTAATATGTTAGAGCAGAAACCAGTCTAAGCCGATACTGACATAGGGTACCTTACCCAGTGCAGAGAAAAAAAAAAAAAAAAAACCAACTTCATTGGTCTTTGATAAAATTACATTCTTAAAAAAATAATAACAACAAGTTGGATTTAAAATACAATCACTTTAAGAGTGCTGTGTTTAAAAAAAAAATGAACAGAACATGCTATCACTGAATTTAAAAAGAGGAGGGACTCGATCCTCAGGAAAGCCTAGTGTCCTAGCCTGCTTGCCATCAGCCTGGCCTCCTCTCCTCTTTCTGGCCAATCTGGTTCTGCATCCCGGGGAGAATCCTGGGGTTGCATTTCCCAGATTCCTTTCCCAGTGGGAGGCTGGGTCAGGTTCTGCCCCTGTGATGGCTTCGCCTGAGATCCAGAACTTCTAAGAGGCGGGGAAACACTCTTTTCCAGACAGCAGCCAGAGAGACACTTTGGAAAGGTTTTCGTTTGGACTATTGGCCCCCCACGATGTTCACTATGCCCCACAGACGCTATTTCCATTTTTTCAGATACTGTGGAACCTGCATTTGCATAATAAAATTAGCCACGTTTGTATTGTTTCCTTTTTGTTTCTGGGCACCATTTTTACTTTGTACCAAAGGACTCTGACGTTTATTTCCCATCTGAACCTTCACTGAACCTGCTTTGAAGCAGCTGTGGCAGATATGACTGCCTTCATGTAGCAATGGGAAAACACAGAGAAGGTTACAATTAGGAGCAGAATCCGGAAGCTGTCATTTTCCAGGACTTCGAGGAAAGTGTTGTTCAGTGAAAACTTGAAAACTCGCCCCCTCCCCCCTTGACTTCTGGCCCAGTCGTCTTCGCGTGAACCCACGGTGAGTTAACACCATTTCATAAAACACCAAGTGCACATTAACAGCATTAGAGAGTAAGAAAATAACTCCGTGCATAGCCCATTAAGCAAAGGAAAATACCATTATGTTATCATTAATCTGTAAAACGATGTACGGATTTCCATTGAGCTTAAAAGGTGCAGGCAGAAGGTAATGTTCCATTAAGTTATGCAGTGACACTTGGAGAATTCACGAAGTATAAAAATTATGTTTCTCAGAGCAATGCTAACACGCCCCAATTGCAGGGATCGTAACATACACGTTAATTGAAAGTCAGGACGATATTTCATGAGAAAATGGATGTGTCATTAGCTGGTGTAAATCAAGGTGCCCCAAGCATTTGATCATATGGGTCACCCCTTCTCCTTGAACACCTCCCAGGAAATGTTCAACTACTTTCTCCATGAGATGTTTTCTGAAGCTGACACAATCCGGTGTGTAAAGATCCAAAGTGTGGCAATTAATTTTAGATTTTCCCCTTCTCCTGAGTTGGTTTTGACATCTGGAGGGTGTTTTCAAGGTAATACCGATCTGTGTTTATATAACTGAAGGAGTCTGCTGGAAATTCCCTCACCATTCATCAATGGGAATGAGATCATAATGATCGGGTATCATTTATCATAAATAATTATTAATGGGGTTGTAATTATTTAGACACTGGAGTCTATCCCAGATTAATACAAGCACATTAATTAACTAGAAATGCTTGCTCCTTTGCACCTGGAAAAATGCATCGTGTTTTCCTTCGGGCTTTTATCTTGCCCCAGTGCCGCTAAAAACTGTAAATGCCAAATCTGGCCTAGAGCTGAGTGGGGCGGAAGGATTTGTCCTCCATCCTCTGGCAGGATGTTGGAACAGGAAAATGTTCTGGGCCAAGAGAATTCCGAGGATCACAACAGGAGAAAACCTTGCTCGGCCGACATAGGTACCGTTCTGGGGAGAAAGGAGACACCCAAGCTTATGGTTTCACTTTTTAGATCTCAGTGGCCTTGTACCAACACCATAAGGGACTTAAGACACAATAAGTGATTTAGCTTCCTTATCTCAAACATAACACTGTGATGATACTCCTCGTTTTGGGTTATGCAGTTGGGAGGTGTTTCTTTCTAAGCAAGGATTAGCAAGCTATCGTTCATCAAGTACACCACTGTACGCCAGAAAGACTAATTAGGTTTCAAAATCAGAGCATGGTGCTTCAGAGCAGAGATCAGCAAACTGTAACCCACGGGCCGAATTGGGCCCTCTGCTGGTTTTTATAAATAAAGTTTTATTTGCGCAAGGCCATGCCCAGTCACGGGCACATGGTCTGCGGCTGCTCTCCCACTACAACCGGATTGCTGAGTCGTCAGGATAAAAATCATCTGGCCTGCCAAACTGCAACACTGGCTCACTAGCCTGTCACAGAAAGGTCTGTGAAGCCTTGGGTCAGAGGCTGCGCCCTGACTGTGGCCTTCCTAACTCTGTCGCCTCCGAGCTTTGCCACCTTGTGCTAATGGGCATGCGCCCCAGTCATCTCATCTGTAAATGGGGGATTCTAGCGCCTACCACTGGGGTCTATTAAGATGAATGAAGGAGTGAACATCTGCAGGATGCTTAGACCATGCGCGGCCCACAGCTGTGCTGGAGGAGGGCGAGGTTAACACAAATAAAAGAGCAGGAGCGAACAGGTGTTTGTCAGCCAGCCAGCCAGAGGAAGGGGGGCAGTTCGTGGCTCACAGAATAGACAAGGTAAGCTTTGTGAGGTTCACCAGGCAAAGGCTGGCTCATTCCAACGCAGACACCGCACCCTGCCTGACACCCCCCGCTTTCGAGAGCTGGCCGGGCGGAAGGCATGGCGCTGGACCTAACAGACTATTCGAAAGGGTTCCCAGCAACTGCTCACTGCCTCGGCCCCTCCACTCTGGACTATTTCCAGTCGTCGGCCCCATCTAGAGTCATAAAACATACAAGGCAACAGAAATTCATTCTCTTTAGATGCCAAAGAGTAACGTTTTAGAGAAGGAATCGGCACACGTTTTCGATAAAGGGCTGGGGAGTTAATATTTTTGGCTTTGCGGACCGCAGGGTTCTATTTTAACTGCTTAACTCTGCCGTGTGGCTCAGAGGCAGCCACAGACAATGTGGAAAAGAATGGGCATGGCTGTGTTCCCACAACACTTAGTTTACCAAAACAGGCACAGGGCCAGGTCTGGCCTACTGGCCATCATCGGCTGACTCGTGTTTTAAGGCACAGAAGAGCAGTGTTAGCATACTAGCTCTGTTAGGGACCGGGACTCAATCAACTCAACTACAATTCTTGCAGTAAGTAAAAAAGAAAAAAAATGGATGGACTTAAAGCAAGCTGTTTTTCTTATTGGCTGAAAGGAAGACTAGATGATGGTTTTGCAAATATTCGCTCCTTCCTCTCACCTCCATGGGAGAGAGAGTCTTCCCTAGACCACCAGCTTTGGCTTTGGCTATGGCTAGGTGACTGGCTTTGGCCAATGAGAAGTCAGTAGACAGTGACGTAAGCAAAGGCTTGGAATGGGCTGGCCTAGCTGGGCTTGCGCTCTCGGGCTCGAGAGAAACGGGACACGGGCAGCCCTCGTGGCCGAAGAGACACAAAGAAGAGACCTAGACCCAATCTACAGCTTAAAGCAAAGCCCAGCCGAGATTAGCCTTGGCAGCAGACCCACACAAGGGTGTAGTGAGCGAGCAATCATGAATGATTATTGTTTGAAGCCACCAAGTCTTGGGGTGCTCGTTACACAGCACTACTGTTGCAACAACAGACACAAAAAGCTTTTCTGCATATTTTCCTGCAAGACGGGCCCTGGAATGGGTTAATGCTCTGACAAAGTACAGAATGACATGTGGCTTTTTGTAACTGGACGACAACAGATAGCATTGCCTACCATGTGCTCCCACTTATGACCACTTCCCAGTAATGCCGACCGCTATCAATGAACACATTTCCAGCTACGCCATAGCTCCCTTGGCTGGTGAAGCGTTCGGGCGTGTGGCTCTTTTTAGAGGATGACTCATCACGTTCTACTGTCAAGTTATCGTGGGACACCTTCAGCTTTCGATGTGCAGACTTGGGGTCCAGTTTAAATGGCTGGCCTGGGAACAAGTTTACAAAAAACAAAGAGAGGAAGAAGAGGACCGTTTATTTCAACATGACCAATACTGTATTTTCATAATCAGGTTTTAAGAACATGGTAAAATATTGAATACAAACATGATCCTGCTTTCATGAACTCCCAGCCTGTCAGTTCTGAGATGGGGATCTAGAGTTGCTATGGCTAAAGATTCAACCGTAGCATGGGCGGGGATTAACCACGGTATGTAGTAGAAGCTATCTTTGGGGGTCCCAGGTGGACACAAGCAGCTCTGGTACACAGTGGCTAAACAGCATTCCCAAGGGAAGGAGAAAATGAAGACTTCGTTTTTAACCATTCCCATATTCGATCCAGCTTAAAATGGGGTTCACGCTCAGTACACTACAGACCAGAAGCCAAAGAAATCAAGATTGCAGATTTTGACATAAAGGCTTTACATAATTCTGAAACTGTTGCAAATTACAAATGAGTCTCATGAACTCAGAATGACTATAAAAATGTGCATTTTTCAGCCCACAACAAGATGAGGAAAAAAATGTGATCATAACACCTGGGTTTTCTACTCCTGAGTGTGTGTGTGTGTGTGTGTGTGTGTGTGTGTGTGTGTATACATACATATACATAAAATAAAGGCCCCTGTATTTCATTATTCACATTTGTGTTTTGAAGATCTCGCTATATGTAACTTTTTTTCAAGATTTTATTTATTTATTTGACAGAGAGAGAGAGAGATAGCAGAGAGAGGGAACAAAGCAGGGAGAGTGGGAGAGGGAGAAGCAGGCTTCCCACTGAGCAGGGAGCCTGATGCAGGGCTTGAGCCCAGGACCCTGGGACCATGACCTGACCCGAAGGCAGGCGCTCAATGACTGAGACACCCAGGCGCCCCTCTTTATGTAATTTTTAAGATTTATATATATATAATACATATTTATGTTTTGAAGATCGAACTGTTAGAAAATCTTGGCAGAGTCATCCCTGAGCGTCTTGTCATAGCTGTTACTTCTCTGAGAATGTAACACGGTCCTGGAGGACTGCCTGTCATTCGACACCACATCGGTGTTAAAAGGCATGAAATGAGTTACAAGATCATGCAAATACCAAGTTGTCTCAAGGCCACTCCCCTCCCCGGCCACGGCCACGGCCACAGTTGGTAGGCCCGCCCTCAGGCAGCCAGCGGACAGAGTCTGGTACACTGGCTGGGGAAATCCACGACCCCGGCTGAGACAGTGGCACGCAGAGCACGGGTAATGAGTGCTGTGTCACGTCCGCGTGGGTCAGAGGATCTCTAGCCGTCACCTGGATACAAACACGACATGCACACCTGTCAAATCCTTTCTCTTAGGACAGGGGTCAGCACATCTTTCTGATAAGAGACCAGATGGATATTTTCAGCTCGGCTGGCCATGGGGTCTCTTGTGTGGCTACCTGACTGCTGCTGCAGCGTGCGCGGCCCAAGACGAGAGGGAAATGGACGGGTGCGGCTGTGTGCCAATGAAACTTTATTTATAAAAATAGGCAGCCAGATGTGGCTGGCAGGCTGGATCGTCTGCTGACCCATTTTAGATTTCTGTCCACATCACAGAAAAGCTTAAAGAGGATGCTGAAGAAAAAAGCTTCCGAGGGCGGATCAGGGCATGGACATTGTCAGAGGCTCTAAGAGCTGCTGGGTTACATGCTGAGTTTGAATTTCAGCTTGTCTTGGGAAACACTGCAGTCCTCAGGAATGATCATGCCAGCAACTGTTAGGGATAAAGTATGAACTAAGGCAAGGAGAGTAGGAAGATAGTTTTGCCTAAAATATTTCCATTTTAAAAGGTGTAAGAGATTGTGTATAAAAACAAGTGGATGTTAACGGGCAGACCGGGGAGAGGGGTGGTTTCATTAAGGCAGCCGTCACTGAAGAGGGGGCCCGTGTGCTGCTTGCCCTTCATCCAGCGAGGAATACGAGAATGGCAAAGCCGCCAGGAAGACTGGCCTCATGAAGACGGGAGATGTACGCCATCTCGCCTCAACTCACACCCTCACCTACACACGTGTGCAGCAGCCCCTTGACAGCTTAGGTCAGGCCCAACCCCAACCCCTGCAACCTCAGCGAGCAAATTCCACCTGCGCCTCAGATGTGTTTCTCAAACGCACCATCACCTACTCTGTCCAAGTTCAAGGCTTTTGCTTCGACGAGGACAAGTTAGTTCAAGGGCCAAGTTAACCATTTACTTTACTAAAGAATTCAACTCATTGTAATATCGTGCATGTAGGAGTTTGGAAAACTACAGCCTGCAAGCCAAATCCAGTATACTGCGTGTTTGTGAATAAAGTTTTATTGAAACCCAAGCATGTCCATTCATTTATGGGTAATCCGTGGCTGCTTTTGCACTGCGGTGGCAGGGGTGTATAAGAATGGATGGTGACCGAGACCATCTAATGTGCACAGCCTCCAATCTTTACTCTTTGGCACACTGCAGAAAAGTCCGCCGACTCCTCGTGTACAACTTGATAACATCTGTTCAATAATCGCATGTCTAGAAATAGAAGATGACATTATCTGTCTACATGAAATGAATGCGATATCTTCAGTGAAACTGATGAAGCACGCGTTCGATGTCTCAGAGACATCTTCTACACAATTAACCTCAGTGTATGTATTTACTAATTCTTTTCCTACTTAATCTCTAAAAACATTTCCTTCTTTACCAGCAGAAATGCTGAGGGGAGAAATTAGCTTCACATCTAAATGTATGTGGCTGAAATTCATATGCCTGGAGTATAATGAAGTTATTTGGCTGCTGAAATCGAGGACTTGCGTTAAGTGAGGATTCTTCTGGAAAAGCAGTTAATGGTCCCCAGTGACTAGGGGCAACTGTCTAACACGGTGCCATATCGACACACTCCCCTTTGCTTTCTCTTGGGAGGTCCTATGCAAAGAAATTCCATGTTATAGAACATATTTCTAGATCAAAAATAGTAAAGAAAAAAGAGAGGATAAAAGAAAACACATGTGGGCAGAGACAGCGAGGGAGACGACAGTGTTACAAGACATATGTACGGGCCATATCTTTCCTTGTGTCCTGTGGGGTGTGGGGTGTTTCCCATCATCCCTGGCTGCTAACCATTAGACACCAGTAGCAACCACCCCAGTTCTAACCGCCAAAAATATCTCCAGACATTGCTCAGTGTCCCTGGGGGGTTGGGGGTGGGGAGAGCAGAACTGCTTCTGAGAATCATAGACCTAGACAGATATCTGGAGTAAGGAATTCTTGAAGAAAGAGTTACTAATTTGCTCTTCTGTTATGGAAAAATAATTTGCCGTTTGCAGCACCCCAACGACCTATCAGGGTCTCTCTCTCTCTATATATATATAATTTATATTCATATATCTTATATGATATACAAATTTTATATAAATAATAAAATAAAAAAATATATAAATAAAATAAATATTTATAAATATATAAAGCATAAATATATATTTTATATATTATATATAAAGAAACACACACACACACACACATCTGTTCTAATTCTCACAAGAACCCCTCCAAGATTATTTGTTAGAAGAGCGAGCAGGTCTGAAGTCAACGCAGAGAAGTGGATGGACTCACAGCCCTTAAGGGTCGAGAGAGTTGGGGACCCCAGAGGCGTCTGATGCCAACTGCACCCCACCGCCCCGGCTCTTGACTTGCTCCTCGGGCCTGTCGATGATGCCTGAGGCAGACAGAAGGAGAAGAAAGGGGGACAGAGGCGGCCGAAAGGAGAGCAGAAGGGAGGCGACAGCTCTACCGAGCTCGTGGCACTTACTGTTTGTCTTCAGCTTCCCAGGCTCACTGCTGCGGCTGCCCGCCTGGTTGATGGCCTTGACAATGAAGATGTACTTGGTGCCACTCTGCAGACCATGGACGGTGTAGTGATTCTGCTTGATGTTGGGCACGATCATCCAGCTGTCGGCTGAGTTACACAGACCTGTGAAGCCAAGCAGACAAGGTACGATTCTTTGTCAATTCTGCATCTCCGAGGGAGCCCGCTAATAAACCGGAGGGCTGCCTCCTGCCTACAGTGGGCGACCGACCTGTATTTATTATTATATGTTCCTGCTGTCTGCCCCAAATGGAAAACTCCAGGAAAATGCTATCGCAGCTTCTGCTCAGTAAACACGGGAGCAGCCAAGGCAGTCCCGTGTGGCGGGCTGCACGTGGTGTCCGTGCGCGATGCATCATGGCGAGGAGAAAGAAGGCGCAAGTCACCGCAGGCTCCGCTCCCGGCCCCCTTACGCCACACTCATGAGCGTGATTGTTAAATCGGAATCTCATCAAGTCTGAGCCTCACAGCAGGTGAGAAGAGACCTGAATCACGTAGAAGTTGGTTCCACAGATGTCCACATAGTCCATCGCTTTTGTGCCTCTCATCTTCAGCCTGCCCCAGACCCAGGCCCGAGCGGCTTGGCAGGGATGGGATGGGTTCCCTCGTGGGAATACAAGAGTGTGCGAGAGGAGGCATTCCAAGGCCTCGAGGATTTCTGTTGATGCCTTGGGTCTCTGTCAGTGCCAAGGGGAGAACGTTCCCCAGAGTCTTCTCGTCTGAGCAGGATGAGACACCGGGAACAGCTCTACTGCCTCACCCCTGCAGGAGTGAGGCCGGCAGAGACTGGCCTGACTTCTGACCGGGGAGTGAAGAAAGCAATCACCAGGGTCACGGGCGTTCCCAGCATTAGCATGGCCACGGTTAACCAACTCGGGAGGCCTGTCCCTAGGAGAAGTGAGGAGCAGTGGCACCCCGGGGGCAGCCAGGGCCCAGTGTAGCTCTTAGAAAAGCAAGAACAGGGATTCGGACCAGCTGTAGTCCCTAGTGTGGCGGGGCCACAGCTCTGGCTGTGTTCTGCAGGATGTGGGCTGGGGGGGTGGACAGGCTGAGGATTTACGATGCTTTTGGAAGAACATGTAGGGAAAAGGAGGCCCGTTTCGTTTTGCAGCAGGCTGATGCTGAAAACGTCTCTTTGGTATTGGGCCCAGCGCTGCTCTCTCCACCCATCAATCTCCACTCTAAGAGAACCTTTTCCCAGCCCCCTGGTGACTGGCTGTCACCAAGTTTCCTGACTCTGGTGAATTTCCTTCACCAGTTCTTGGTGGAGGCCTCAGTCCCTCCACTTCCTGAGGGGCTTGAACTCCCCCCCCACTCTCTCCCTTTCAGTGGATTTGCAAGTCAAAGGGTTAGTTCTTTTGATCTGGAGGCAATTTATACCTTACAGTAATCCCAAGAAGCAGTCCCTTAATCTTTCTTTGGTCTCACCTCTTTGAGAATCTAATAAAACATTTCTATAGCAGGAGAGTCACATGTGCAGATCCCTACCGAGCCACAAATATCTGCATGGCATTCCAAGACATTCATAGCCCCGTGACATCTGTCTTTGGATGGCACTAAATACCTTCTCCAACTTTTGAGTAAAACACCGCTCCTGCTGGTCTGCACCGTTGAGAAGAACCTTAGAAGTCTTTTGTCAAGTGTGAAACTTCACCTCGTCTGATTTGTACCTTGGGGGCACAGTCTCGTTAGACACCCTCCAGTGAGTCATAGATACATACACTCACACACACACATACAAACTCACAAGGTCAGATCTGACCCTGTGCGCTTCCTGTCACCTCTTTTCATCTCCACCTGCGAACATTTCACCAGCAGCGCCGCCAGAGTTGACAAAGCCAGCATAAAGCAAGGGAACCGTGGGAGACTCATGGAAGGCGGTGAAGGCGTGTGTGCACTCATGTTGGAGACGGAGCAGGACGACTGAGGCACCACCCACCCCCACCCCACCCCCTGTTCTCCCCCAAGTCGTAGCCCTCTGTTCTCCTGCCCATTCTCACTTGTGTGAGACCCAGGAAAACATCCACCAGGGGCTCAGTAACACGGGGCTCTCCCTAGTACATTTCCCTTTGGCTACTTCTTCACCTCACCTTTACCATGAATACAGCTGTCATAAGCTTGGTGCTTCTGGATAGCACCAGGGCCAAATCACAGATTTGGATCCGACCAAAGAAGGGTCATTTTGAACTCTGAGCTCTGGGCCCCAAGAAGCCTGCAACTCACTTTAGACATTTCATCGTGATCTTCCAAGAGTAATAAAACGAAAACAATGAGCTTTTTCTATTGCCCAGGATAATCCACTCATATTCCTAGACCTTTGTCAATAGCAGTCGAGTACGGACGAACACAGTAACGGCATTCAGTAGACTCAAATGAGAACGCTATCGATGTCACTGCGTTTACACTGTTCCCGTTTAATTGCACATGTTACAGGAAAATGACGATTGTGGTCAAAGAAAGCAAATGTAAAAATGTTTCAATAAACTTTACATCACTGTGCGACCAAAAAGCTGGGCTTAATGTGGTGGGGGAATGCTTTCAGCGACATCATAAAGCAGATGTCTGAAATTGCTACGAACAGCAAGTTGGCCTTAAAACCCAACAAAAGAGATTTAATGTTTCAGAACCCTTCTCCAAACAGAAAAGGGACCCTGACCATCCTGATGACTTTGAAGAGGTCGCTCTTTTTTCCCCTCAAAGATTAAAAGAACAAAAATGTTGACAGAGTGGTAAAATTTGATTGGACAGGTCTACACTGGGACAACTTGCTCTTGCGATCGCTCGCTATTTCTGTGGCGGCTTACCTTTCTGTTACTACTGCTGCCAGGACAATAATTGAGAAGTTGATTAAAAATGCCAAGAAAGCAGCAGCGACCATTTTCTTCTGGCGGCTGGAGCAAGTGGGGCGTCTCCGAGGACACCGTCACTGCGTTGCTAGTGTTGGTCCTGGGCCAGCATCACCTAACATCTTGCATATGGTGCCAAGTGCCAGACCTCTCTGCCTCGGTACCACACCAGGTCGGGGCCGCTGACCAGGTTTTAAGCGTCTCTTTACGAGACACCCGTGGCACCATCCTGGAATGAAGCCTCACTTTTTTCCCAATTCATTCTCAATCATCTTTGAGGGTATTCCAATATCCACCTTATCTAACTTGGCTTCCAGTATTAAAGCAACAATGGAATGTGGGAGATAATTAGTTCATAATGAAACTTAATTGAGTTTCTCAATCTTATACATTTTGTTCTCATTCACAATGGGTCAGAAGCATCTCCCTACATAACGCTGCTCATTACAAGATCCTTATTACATTTGGGATTTCAGAGCCTTGTATAGCAACAGTCATCTTACAGTAAAACACTCTGTATAAAACATTACACAACACGGACACCCTTCAGAGAGGCGGCACGTGGCTTCAAACGTCCTTTGTTTCTTCTACCAGACTGGACAGAAGTGAACATCCTTTTCCTTCTTCTCTGTAAAAATAGTATCTGTTTAATAACTGCTCATGAATGTTTTCAAATCGACTAAGATTAACTAAATACAGATAAAACTACCTTGCCATGGAGACCTGGAAAAGCGCATCTTTGGACTTCGGCTAATAATAAAAATAGGCTGCTGGGGAAAGGCCCCGTTTAGGATTTTAAATGGCGCACTGAAAGGGGTTTTGGAAAAAAACATGAAAAACGTTGTGAAATTAAATACATATCTAATTATTAAAAAGCAATTCATTAACATCTGTAGGCCTAAGTCTGCTAATAAGAATGCATAATAAAAAATTAATGGTGTCATTAATTTTGCATTTGAATATATGAATTTGATTAGGGAGAGCCTTTTTAAAAGATCAAAAGCTTCACAGATATTATCTAATTCTCCTTCACCAAAGTCAGTTGTGGGCAATTAACTAGAATTCATTACAACAAGTGAAGGAACCATGACCTATAGGCAGTGAAGATTCCTAGTGGCACGAGGGATTGTGGCCGGTTTGGGGGCTACCATGTCTTCTAACTTTCGGTACAGTTTTACTATTAGCTCTCGTCATTCAATGTAACAACATCTGCAAAGGATATTCCTCCAAATGGCGGGACAGATGGACAAACAACATTCAGGGAAGGCCTGGCACTTGAAGAATGTGTAAAATGCCATTGTGTAGAAAACCCTCACTAATTTCATGACTGACCTTTGTCCTACGACCCAAAACATCAGCTTTAAAAAAAAAAATGCAGTGACGGGTGAGTGCCGCTGTATTTTTGCAGGAATAATAACTTGGATACCTCTGCGCTGACACTGTGGCAAGCATGGGGCTCAGACCATAGTTTTATCATCTCAGCCATGGAAGTTAAAACATCACCTCTCCTTACAGACGAGGAAACAGACGCAGAGGACATTGAATAATTCGCCCCAAATTACGGAGCTAGTGAGGTCCACAGTTGGGATTCAAATCCAGGTCCCTCTCAGACATTATAAATATATATAATAGTCAAGAAGAAAATAATTTGAAGGTCTTTGCATGTCAGTTGTCTTTTTATTTACATTTACTCTTTCTTTCCTTGTTACAATTCGATCCTGTAGGCCTCAGGACGTCACTATACTGGTTTAATGGATGTTAGAGAGACAAACAGCTCCCGGTACTAATGGGCTGATGAGAGTGTCCAGTCAGATGGGCACCTGAGGTTTCCCTGATTTCCACTGGTCCTGGGAAGAATAGCCTTTCCGACATGTGTGCACCAAACAAGCAAGGTCTGTCACCTTCAAGAAGTTATCCCCATTTATTTTCTTGTGGCACCTGCTTTTGGGGAATAATACACCGTGTCTGGAATCACCGAGAATGGAGCTCTGAAGTCAGTGGTGTGGCTGCTGGTGGGTTTCTGTAGGCATGGCTTTTTCTCATCTACTCCATTCATATGTTTTTGTTTTGATATTATTTTTCATGCCAACAGCACGGAAGCCAAGTCAGCCAGAGAAACCCCAAGTTTTACGCACTAGGTCTCCTCTTTTCATTTGGTGGGGGGTGGGGGAATGAAGCACTGGGATCGAGTCCAAGTTCTTAAGCGCATCCACCATCTTTCAGCTCCACATCCTCGCTCCTCGAGTATCCATACTCCTTGCGGAGCAACCTCGCTGGCCCTCACATTCTGACTCTGGGCTCGCCCATGGGACTTGCTTTGGTCTCTAGCACATCAGCTAATGTGACAAAGACAGGGGCCTGCAAAGCACTTGTGCAAGTGTGCCTGTCCTTACAGGCGTGCGCTGCGCTCACCTTCACTCACCAGGAGAATGCACCCATGTGGGACTATAGGAGGCAGCCCCAACCCGCAGCATGACCTTGACAGCGCTCACCCAGGTCAGTGGGACCAGCAGAGCCCCACCTGATTCCAGACACACAGGCAATACATGTTTACTGTTATATGCTACTTCGGTTCTGTGGCTGTTGGCTGATCAGCAAAAGCCAACTGATATAGGGCCTGCCCGTCTAAGCCAAGGCTCTACGTAGTGCCTCAATGCCCACAAAAATTCGCTTTAAGACACTTCAGGAAAGACGGAACCATCTATGGTGGGTGCACTCCTGGGTAGCCCCCATGATTCCCCAGTGATATATTCACAACTTCATGTAATTCTCACCCTCCTTGAGCGCAGGCAAGACATGTGGCCTGCTTCCAAAAAAAGAGAATACAGCAAAGGACAAAAGTCCTAGCATCATGAGTTTGCAAATGTACTTACGATCCCTGACCAGCTATTTCTGAGTTAATCAAAAGAGATTATTCTGGGTGAACAAAGCAAGGTAAAGAACTGTGTTTGGCCCACTACCTTTTGTGTCCCTAAAAAACGTATTTCTAGATGTGTGTGAGTGTCTGTGCATCCTTTTGTATCAACAGACAACCACAGGAAGGATGCGTGTGAAATGGAGTTGGTGCAGTAGGTAACTTTGGAACTGCCATATTGGGGCTTTGGGGCTGCCATATTGAAAAACATCCAATCGTCACTGTAGACATTTTATATATTATCACACAGTGTTCATGCATTACTTACTAAAAAGAAAGGTTTTAGGGAAGTTAGTATTTCTTCATGCACGTATAACTAGGGATGAGGAGCAATACCAGAAGAATCCAAAATCCTGAAAGGAGGGCAAAATGATGCCAAACCATGACGAACCATTGATATGCCCGTGCTGTTTAGACTTGCCCCCCACAGCACTTCCAACAGCTATGGGTCACAGGTGGAGAAGTCTCTTCTGGAATTTATCTTCTCCTTACCTTCGTGGGCGCTACTGCCATTGGCAGGTCCTGGCCATCTCTGCGTCTGTGAATTACTACAGACCTCCAAGTTCATGTCTCTGCTTCCAGTTTTGCCCTGTTCCACTCTATCCCCCACAGCACTGCCTGAGGGGGCTTCTAACCCTATATCTGATCGCACTGCTGCTCTGTGTGGGGAAAAATCCCACACTGTGTGGCCCGAGTGGCCCTCTGTGGTCTAGGTCTTTACTGTGGGTGAGGATTAAGAGACTGGTGATTAAGAACACGTGCTTTCTGGAACTAGACCCAGATGGGTTTGAGTCCCGGTTCTATTTCTCTATCTTCATTTCCCCCCATCTCCCCTTCCCCACTCAATTCTCCAGCCAGGCTTGAGTAGAGAATGTCTCAGAAAATGCCTTGCCATTCTCCGTCTCCACAGGTTTGCCCCCGATCATGTGGCTGCCTGGCATTCCCCTTAGCTTGCTGATATGTACCCACTCTCTTCCAAAACTTAGTTAAACCATCATTTCCTCAAGACATTTTCACCCACCATGTCTGCCTTCTTACTCAAGCAGCTGGCCACAGCGGTTAGCAACATTTCATGATTTTTTTTTCCTCCTTACGCATTCCTGGAAAATGGTAAGATTTTAATAAAGGCTTCCAAGGCAGGCCAATTAGGGAGTGGAAGGTCAGAGGGTTGAGGAAGGAAGCCTGGGAAATGAGGATCTAAGGAGGCCGGGGGGTCTGTTTGTAGGTATGAGCCGGCAATGCTAGTTACTTGGAGGCGGGGTTCTTCATGCATCCCTCTTTCCCCCCCGCTCTTTTAATTAATCCTAAATTTAATTTCTTTTTTAAGCATCATGTGCTTCAGAATTCCTTGTGGTAGGAAAGAACAGCATGCTTAAGGGAGAAGAGGTGTATGTAATAAAAGCACATTCAGTTGATATGGATTTATTCAAAACATTTCTTTGTTGAAAAGTGACTGCTATTCTATTCTATTCTGTTCTACTTTGATAAGTTCTCTTTTCATTTGCTAAAGAAGTTTCAAACTTGCTTCCCAGAAAAGCCAGATCTTCTGGTCCTCTCCCATTTACTCAACTCAATTTGAGTAACCGTGGGGGTAGGGAGGCGAGATTGCTTTGTTACCACCGCTCTGGCCAGCAACTGGGGTTCTCTGAGATCATCAACCTGTCTCTGATACCAGAGAGCTCATGGGCCCCAGGGAGAGAAGGGTCTCTCTGTGTTTCAGGTAAGGTCTGAAATTCTTCCCAGGTGGGGGTCAATGACTAACATTTTAAACAATGGGCCTGCTTTCCTCCAAATGGGATGTGGTATTGGGCATTGTTCGGCTATCCACTTTATTAAATTCCTTTTTTACGTTGTGAAATAACACTCAGAGAAGTACGTAATACTAAATGTAGGATAAACTCACTAAACCGTGTAACTCCCACCCAGAAAGTAGTTAACCCCATGAGCCCCTGTATACTGATTCTCAGTGGTGCCACTCCCCTCCCATCCCGGAAGTAACCATCATCCTCCCTTTTATCATTTTTATACCTACGTATGCATCTCTAAACAAAAATTTTTTTAAAGATTTATGTATTTGAGAGAGAGAGCGAGCGAGCATGCACATGTGCGAGTCGGGGTCGGGGAGCACAGGGAGAGAGAATCTCAAGCAGATTGCCCAGTGAGCACGGAGCTCAATGCAGGGCTTGATCCCACGACCCTGAGATGACGATCTGAGCCAAAATCAAGAGTCGGGACACTTAACCTACTGAGCCACCCAGGCGCCCCCGCCCCACAAAATGGTTTTCCTTTTTATCTTTAAATTATGAATGTATAAATAGAGTCCTACTGCATGTATTCTTTTATTTCCAGCTTCCTTCTCTTAAGTATATGTTTGTAAGACTCATCCATGTGGACTGCTAGAGATCACTAATTTTTATCACTCTTTGGCCCGTTATTTCTGCTGGTATAGTACAAGTGAATGCGATCATCCTCTTGGTGAGGAAATGCAGCCAATACCTACTGTGAATCCTTTCCTTCCTTGTCTTACCTTGACGCTTCAATTTAGAATTGCCATCTAACAGAAGACAGTCACCAAACAGAGAAATCGATAGGGGGCACGATACTCACTAACAACATTGGCTTGTCCGGTGAATATGGTGTACTGGAGCTCATAGGAAACCACGCTGAATTCATCATCGGAGGTCCAGTGAACAGTGATGGTGTCGTAGGAAGCGGTGCAGAGCTCTTCTCTAATTGTAGGAGGGTTGGGAGCTGTGGGGGGAGGGGGTGGGATCAAGAACGCTCATCAGCCAAAAAGCAGGCACCTCCGGGACACATTTCGGAGGAGACATGGGACAGTCAAAGCAGGCCTTTCTACACAGGTCCATCAGGACCACTAGCTCAGAGGTGGTGACCCCGATCCAAAGAACCAACGTCTGGTTGGCTGGTCGCTGCTGTCATTAAAGGGTAGCGTGACTTCAGCCAGCCAGTAGGGACTTACCTCTATTTATCACGAAAGTACGTTTAGGAGGTTAAGCAAATAATACTCTTATCCATGAAAAAAAATATTAAACAAAAAGCAAACAAGATGAACTTCTATGATTTCACCCACACTGGGGAGATGGCAAACTTTTCCAGTAAAGGGCTAGGTGGTAAATGTTTTAGGTTTTGCGGGCCATACATTCTTCGTTCTTTGTCCTTTCAACTCTGCTGCTGCACGATGAAGGCAACCTTGGGCGATTCGTATTCAAATGGACATGGGCAGGTTCCAGTAAAACTTTATTGACAAAGAGAGGGTAGGGCTAGATTTGGCCTCAGAGCCAAGGTTTGCCAACCTCTGAGCTATGTGAGGTTACGTATTCTTATATTTACACACCCGATTGGAAAAATACCAATGTTTGTTATCCTATAAGAAACCCAGCCAAATAACTGTTTGAAGATTTTCTCTCATTAGAAGTTTTGATGCCTTATTTAAAAAAACACCTTATTAGTGTGGTCCTATTTTGCTCTCATCTTTCAGTTTTAAAGGTGATATTTCAAATTAAGAAGAATATGATTAACAGTCAATCCTATCTAAGAAGTACATTTTCCTTCCCCAAGAAAACATGGTTCCTTGGCATTTGGTTAACTTTATTACTGGAGAAGGCTGCTGTTTTATGTCTCGAACACAGTCTGGAGCAGAGAAGTCTAAATCCTAGCAAAATAATGATTTGAAGTTGACTCAAAATCTACCAGCTTGATTTCAGTAACTGGCTTTATGAGAAGAGTTTGTGAGCAAGAAAAAGAATAGGCAGGGAGTGCTCTGCACTGGCAATAATATTTCAGAGCAGGGCTTGGCAAACTATGGCTACGGGCCAAATCTGGCCCACTGCCTGTTTTTGTAAATAAAGTTTTATTGGAACACAGCCAGGCTCATTCATTTATGTATTGTCTGTGGCTGCTTTTGTGCACTAGCAGAGTTGAGTAGTTGGGACCATATGTCCTGCAAAGCCTAAAATATTTACCATCTGGCCCTTTATAGTCAAAGTTTGCCAATCCCTGGTTTGGAGAATCGATCCAGGCCTTTATTTCCAGTCTTCTGTATACTAGAACCTAACTTCAAAAGGAGAAACATATCCGCATTCTATAGATTCAGAGCGACCTCTGTTCACACTATTGCAGAGTTCTTTCCTGCTCTAAATTTTGATTAGGCCCGAGGAGTCCTAAACAAACCCAAAGAGGGAGAAGAGTTTGTAAAAAAAAGGCTACTTGAAAACTCGAATTGTTTTAGGCTTCATTTTGTCCAACTTCTATGTTTGTTGCATAAAGTCAATTAGGGCAGCTTGGTCTCTTGCTCACTGAGTTCCACCAACATGACTACACACCTGTGCATGTGGGCTGGCAACACATTAAGTCATGGGTTAAGACAGAAAGGCTCCATAGAGCCCTTAAAGCACTCTTTCTGGAATGTGTATTTATACGTCTGTCTCCTGAAGTATATCTGCATGCAAGATTTAGTGTCGTCTGCTGTGACTTGGTTGTGCAGGAGTCAGGGACACCGAGCCAGGGGAGGCCCAGCTGCTCCATAAAACTCCGTAGGATCGTCTGTGTGGCTGCTGTCGCTGTGCAATCACCCGGCAGGGAGTGGTGGAGAAATGCTTATTCTCCCATAATCTAAATAGCTCACTGAATTACTTTTCCATCAACCACCAGAGAAAAGATGGTGTCTTTTCTGTATTGCAATAGAGGATTAAGTAGAAAGCAAACTTGTGTTCAAAATAAGCAAGTAGCTGTGATCGGGGAGGAAATGTCACCTCTCTGGATTATTAACTTGACATACCACTTAGAGGCATGTCACAGAGGGAAAAAAATCATCTTGTTTTCACAGCCACGCAGGCTAACCCTGTTTTGATTATAAGCCCAATGGGTTTGTCCCAAAAAGTCAATACGCAATTTACTGTAAGTGAGGATAGCAGCATGCCAATTTCAACATTCATGGGATTGGTGGCAGAACTATTATTTTCTTGCCTCTGTTATAAACAGGACACGAGAAATGGTGGGCTAATACTCCACAAACACTTCCTTTCCTGCTTACAAATGTCTGATAAACTATTTGGACTTGGCAATATCAGCCAAGCATCATATGTTATGGCCAGGATCGATGTTATGTCTAGAAATGGGCCAGATTTGTATTTGAGGTTTGGCAGCTAAGAAGGCAGAATGGCAGGTACCCCATGTGGTCTCTAGCTTGGCATAAACAGCGATCGGGATGATACATGGGGTACACAGTCCTAGTTGGTGCAAACGACTTCCTCGCCTTCCCCTTTAATCACTGCCTTGGCATTCGCATGGAGACGGAGCCCATGAGTGGACGCCCACCGGAACACCATTAAACGATGACTGGGCAACGGGGAGGACACACTCAGGTCAGCAAGACATTGATTTTGTACAGAAAGGTCATGTGCCCGGCCCAACAGTCTTTCAGTCCTCTTTATCCTTGGGCATGACCTTGTGACGTGGATCCGGCCCCCGAGACACAAGTGGGAGTTTGCCAGGTGGGCCTTCTAAGCAAGCTTTTTGTTTTCCTAATAAACAAGGACAGAATTTTGTCCCCATTTGCCCTGCATCCGTCTCTTTTCACCTGTAACTTGAGCACGATGCGTGGAGGTGGGGCAGCTGTGCTGTTGTGTGGCAAAAAGGCAGCGCAGCGAAGATGGCAGAGCAGGGAAAAAGCAAGAGCCTGGGGTCTGCGGTCCTCACTGAGCTGCGGCCCAGGCTTGGAGCACATATCTCCCTGCCCGGGTTTGCAGGATACAAACACCGCTTGATGGGTTTAGTCACTGCTAACTGGATTTTCTGTTGCTGCCATCCTACTCAATTCCAAATGACGCAAGAAAAAAAAAAAGACTTTTCATAGGATGCCATCATGAAAAACCGCTCAGCCAGAGAAAATCTAGACCCGTGCTGCCTAATACAGTAGCCACAAGCTGTTTAAACTTCTATTAGGTTTAATTAAATTTCAATGAAGGTAAAGACTCACCATTACATTTCAAGTTTCTGATAGCCCCATGTGGACAGCAGCTACCAAAACGGACAGTGCCGATACAGAATGTTTCTATCCTTGTGGCAGGTTCTAGGGGGGTAGCGTTAGTTTAGACAGATCTCAGAGTTAAAAGCTTAAAAAGGGGGTCAGTATATGAATAAATATTTGAAACCGACTTTGGGTCCTTACTGCAAATGCACTGTGGAGTCACCTTTTTAATTCCTTAATAAGAGTGGTGTGGTTTGAAAGAATGACATAAGATAAGTTGGTGGGATGAACACTTGGCTTGCAAATGCAGAAAGGCTAAAAACAGCATCTCGGATTCTTGCAAATCAAAAAAAAACCTATCTGGGTATAACACCCCTTGGATATAAAACTGCCCGTTTTTGATCCATAGACTGTGAAAGTGAACATCACACAATGTTCCCTTTCTCCTGCTCCATCTTTTCCAACCTCTCTCCGACATGCACACGTGCAGAACCGAAATGCGGACGCTGACGCCATGCTGAGTCAGGGACGTGGTCTCTTGAAGGCCGCATGTCCTCAGTTCCATGCACATCTGGCTTCACTGTATACATGGAGCCTTCCAGAAGTCCTAGGCACCAGTGGCTTTGGCTAACACAAATAAAGGTCCTTTAAACAATCTGCATTCTGCCAGCAAATGATTTCAGTCCTCACTCTCGAGGTCGACGGCGACGAAACATTTGGAAGCATGGTTAGGAACAGGAGTAGCCTGAGGTTTTCTTTTATTGCTGTTCCTTTTCTTTCGTAAGTTTGACAGCCCCCCACCTCCCGCCATAAAAACTGTCTATCAGAATGATGGCACTGGGAATTCACATGCGATTTTTGGGACATTTGCTGTGGTGACCTTTTGCCAAGATGAAATGCGGTCTTTTACCAGAAAGAACAAGAGGTCTTTGGAGTCCGTACGGACCCAAGCCAAATTCTAATTCTGCCACTTGCGAGCTACCTGACCTCCAGCGAGATGGGTGACCCCTGTCATGGGAAAAATGAGGATTATAACATGCTAAGATCATGCCAGATCTCAGATACAAAGAGCTGAAGCAAGGTAGACACTCAACCAAGAGTTAGCTGCCAACTGTGTCTCTGCCAAGACACCGTGAGAGTCAGAAGCCTTGCTGAGATGAAGTGGAAAACAGCCCCGCTACCTTACGCTACTCTGTGATGGCCAGCAGAGTTGCTCTTTGTGACACCCACACTCTGAGAGGGAGAGAAAATGGCAGGAAGTACGTTTTTAATTCTCGAGATTTGCCTTTTTCCTCTGTCCCCAATTTGGTCTCAGACCGTGTTGTTTCGGGTGGGGAAACAAAAAAAAAGCATGCCAGAAATCATTTAGGGGAATATTAGACTCCATTCCTAAATCAGGAGCCCACACCTCTGGTTTTGAGGGAATCGATGTGGTGGCAAAGTATGTGTATCACTGACTGTACACGACATCAAAGTGCACACACAATATTAAAGCACGCGCGCGCATGCGCGCGCGCACACACACACACACACGACAATACCTGTAAGGTAATCCAGACATTCTAGCAATTTCTTCTCTCGGGAAAAATCTAAGGCAAAGGTGTCAAATGTGTCATTGAGGTTGATTTCAGGAATTAGGACCTGGGAGGATGCAGTCGCCATGGAGACTCTGTAATTTAAACAAAACAACTTTTTAGAAATGTCAAGATGCCTGTCACCGTCACTGCCTGGGAATGAAAAAAAATGAAAGGAAAAGAAGGATCATTTTAAAATGGGGCTGTTTTTACACGTTTTACAGGTTCAAAGAGAACCTGGGAACGGCACAACACAGCCAACACAATGCAAACGATCGAGCTTAAAGACGAGGCAAAGGAACTGGGGAAACAGTAGAATGGCTCCCCCCCCCCCACCCGCCTTCCTTTTTACTGTCGGAAAAAAACTCCCCACGAAGGTGGAAGAATATTCATATCTCATGTTGCTGTGTATTTAACAGCCCGGCCCCCTTCACATCTAACCCCAGCAAGAAGCACATAGCTCCGGGCATTTCTTCACACATCTGTCTGGGAAACTGTTTGTTCCTTTCAGACCCGACCCTGCTCCACTTCAAAGAGGAGTCTCCAAAATTTCAAACTGCATAAAAGGCAAAGTGAAGATTAAAAAAGAATGTTTCCAGATATTGGATTAGTTTAATCAATTACTAGCTTCTCTCTAAAATAAACATTTAAAAAGGAGTTTTTGTCTGGCTTGTTTCGTTCTTCTTGTATTCTTTTTTTTTTTTTTTGCACCATATTCCCAGCAGATGCCATGGAAAATATTCACGAGCTCCCTCACAAATTCCTCCCATGGATGCCCCATTTCCCCTCTTCATTTACAGTTGCTAGTGAAGCGTTCTCATTTGTAAACTAAAAAGCAACGTATTGGTGAGTACGACGCTCCTGCTAGAAGAGAATCTCGTGCTATGTGTGTGTTAATCCCTCAGGTTGATTTGCAAAGTTCAGTTGCCAATAGCAGAATGTTTGGACTAATTAAAAATGCAAGCGATCCTCTTAAAAACGATACAGTTGTGGCATGACATAAACCACGTGTGAGCGCCTCAGACCATGCTAGACCCGTGATCTTGCTGATCTGGGTATTTCAGGAAGTTCGGTAAACACCACCAAGGGCCAACTACATGCAGAGTGCTGTGTAGGGTGCTGGGACTCGGTGAGCAAAGAAATACTCTGAAATGGTTCATCTCTAAATCTAGTTATTTTCTCATTAAGAGTGCTGGTGCTCATTTATAGAAAGTTACAAAGCTAGCTGGAAGCTAGCCAGGAAGAGCTAGCCTAGGAAACTACCTAGCTAGCCAGGAAGAGAATTCTAGGTCTAAATTCTTCCATTTAATCTAGAAAAATTTCAGCCTGGTTACCTAAGGAGATCTCCTCTTGGGTCTCTTAATGGCTCTTAAAACTGTATCTTATAAAGATGATGTATTTTGGCTAAAGAAATTATACTTGCGAGTCTATTCATACAATGGAATATTATTCATGCGTAAAAAGGACTGAAGTACTGATAGACACAACAGTGTGGATGAACCTTGAAAGTGTTAACGCTAAGTGAAAGAAGTCTGATGCAAAAGGCCGTGTATTGTATGATCTATTTGTAGGAAATGTCCAGAACAGGCAAATTCCCAGAGACAGAGAGCAGACCGGCGGTGGGGGGCGGGGGGCGCGCAGTGGATGATGACTGCATAATGGGTATGGAGTTTTGGGGGGGTAATAAAAAGATTTTGGAACTCTTATTGCACAATATCATGAATATACCAAATACGACAGATCGCACACATTATAATGGTTAATTTCATGTTCTCCGAATTTCACCTCAGTATAAGTTACACCTGTGAAGTGCTCAAAATCCTTAGAAACAAAGTTTCTAGAATTATGATTCTGATACATTTCCAGTTCTGTGTCGGGAGGGTGGTAGACAGGATAATTAATAATGTAATAACCAGGATGATGCTGGGATCCACTGATAAAAAGTTTGAAGAGGCAGAGACTCTGGAAAGAAACGTTTCAAGTGTTTGAATGAGGGTGGAGAATCTAAATTCACCACCTGTTTCACCCAGGAACAGTGAATAGCTGGGATGCCTGGGGGCCTCAGTCAGTTAAGTGGTGTCTGCCTTTGGCTCAGGTCATGATCTCAGGGTCCTGGGATCGAGTCCCACATCAGGCTCCTTGCTCAGCACGGAGCCTGCTTCCCCTCTGCCTGCCGCTCCATCTGCTTGTGCGTGCCCTCTCTCTCAGATAAACAAAATCTTTTAAAAAGAAAAAAAAAAAGAAACCGTGAATAGCAGAGATGTGGGATTTTGTTGGGTAAAAAGTGCACCCAACGGGAATGGGCTAATTATTGTGACAAACACCTGCTAATTTAGACTGGTGGATAAAGGCATGGTTATTAGGCGTTTTTCACACATAGTCAAACTGTACTTAAAAAATGCCTTCCTTATGACCCATAATCACAAATCTCCTCAGAACTCAGAGCGATCCTGGGATCACTCAGCGAATACATAAGGAGCTCTTAAAGCATGCCCACATGTACTGAAGAGCCCGCAATATTTGCGTCAGTGCAGAAAAGTTAAAAGAAATGCTATAGCGCCATGTGAACTCCCCAAATAAAAATTTCAAAGTGAACCCCCAATTAGAATGTTTCATGATGTCCAGCAGGGAAAACTGCACCGAGCTATTAAGAATCAGGCGTCTCTCTGTCGCATTTCTCTGTCTTTGTTGTGTGGCTCAGATCTTGGGCTGAGAGGATCCCAGGCGCTCTGAGCAGACAATCTCGCTTTAGCGCTCTGCTGTCCAGGGACAGAAGCTTCTGTTCAGGTACACCCCAAACAGATTTTACTCCCAAGTTTCTCCTCGTTCTATGGTCCACAGTTAACTAAAACGTGGTTCAGGCAAGTGACAGTGTTAAAAAAAAAAAAATGGCAATGCCTGCCATGTCGCTGGTGGGAACTTTGTGGAGTGGGAATGGAAAGGCTGAAAGTCCCTAAGCCTGGGAGGCCAAGACTGACAGCAAGAATCTGGGCGGATTACTGCTGCTTTTAACACCTACACAGTTTTTTGATGGAAGGAGAGATATTTATCTTTGGCTACAATTTCAAATTCGTAATTGGAGTGACAGGCAAGGGCAGATCTGCCAAATTCAACATTTTAGGCCTTGTTTTTATTCCCCAAATCCTTGTTGCCCATCTTCTGGCCTTTCAGATGAGTTGCCAAAATCCACCAGGGCCATCAGCCTTAGGCCACTTTTAAAATTCTGTGCCTTCATAGTTTTGTGTGTCTCTGTGTGTGTACGTATATTCGCATGTGTGCACATGCTTGTGGGTGTGTGTTAAGCTCTTATCCTACTGAGGCAAATAAGGACATGTGTCCTATCCTGATGCTTAAGGGGGTGGCCTGCACATTACTTCCTGTTTCTGTTTTGACTTCGATGCTCCTAATCTCCCTGACAGTTTGCTAGGGCCACTTGGAGGCAATTTTCTAGAAGATGGACTTGTCTGGAGCTATGTGGCTCACAGGCTTTCTCTCAAACAGCCAATGCCAGGGGAAGATGTTCTATCCTTCCTGCCCAATATCCTTCTCCCCATGCCCGACCCTTGACAATGGCACGTAAATGGGTCTCTCTTGGGCGAGTGGGCAAATCACCACAGTAAAACCCAGTGAGGTCTCACAGCAGCAAAACGCGGTTTGCTTTGGTCTGCTCAGGGTTTCCCAGATGCATTTGGCTCTGGAACTTTGTTGTTGTTTTAACACCAATTAACACCCTACCAGAACACACTTCAAAAACCACTCATCATATGTGCTTGAATTCTTAAAATCAAGCGACATCTCTCCAGCGTTGACAACTGGAGGTCTTGGTTTTATATCCAGGGCAAGTCTGATGGATGCTTGAACTGCTTACGGTGTTGAAGGACGGCGCAGTCGGACACCCTCCTAGGAGCTCTGAAAAATGGGTACCGTTCGGAGGCAAGTTTCTTTTTACCATCTTGATAACTGGGTACTAAAAGTGATTTTAAGTTCAGATTTCTCATAACCAACTTTCTTATGCTTGGATTTAGTGAAGAGTTTGGCTTCCTTAATGTAGTTGTATAAAGATATCCACACAACCATGCAGAAGACCTGTGTATTAGTGTGACTTGGGAATATAGTGTGTTACGCACTCCATTTGTGTCAATTTAGTGAGTGGGAAGGAAGGGAATTAGCATTTGTTGCATGATCACCTTGGGACAGGAATCGGACTAACGGTTTTACCGTATTATTTCATTTTGTCCCTCTAACAACCATCTTAGGTTGGAACAATCGACATGTTTTATGATTTGTTCACTCATTCATTTATGGCAGGCAGTTTGCTATGTGCCGGCGCTTCCATGGTGAAAACAAGGTGGCTGGGGGTTCTGCCCACTAGGAGTGTATGAGCGAAATTAGACTCCCAAGTGTTAAAGGAGCAGCCCCAGTGCTGGCCATAAGTACTCCTAAGCAATTAGCACAGAGCCAGACACTTGACTCCAAAGCATATGCATCTCCTACAATGTAAAGCTTGATGGTCTCTCTCCTTTGGGTTTGGTTTTCTTTTCTTTTTTTTTTTTTAATATGTCTGAATCGAAAATCTTTTTGCAGTTAGATTCACCCTGTAGAGGAACATACCTACTTTAAGTGATTCTAAGATACAGAAAAATCCCATCCAAGTCTCACTTTAGGAAGGCCTGCAGGACTGAAAGTTTGTTTCGGGTTTTCCCTCCTCGAACAGAAGAATAAAGATGGTTTAGAAGTACACAGGTGCCAAAGCCCAAGGCAGACACAGTAGGAGGCAGAAAATTACAAAGTCATGTCCTAGAGAAGAATGTTTACTAAGAAAAGGATTGAAGGGTAGAGACAGGCAGAGACCAGCCCCAGAACATACAAGGCGGGGCCATACTCACATACTAAACTACGAGAACTTAAATCCAACAGACATTATGGATTATCTGCGATGCTGAAGTTCTGTTCTTAGGAGTTATCAGCAACAGTATTACAACTACTAATCGAAGCAGTTATTATGAGACCAATTTTCTTTTTTACCCCTCTTTTTTTAAAAAAAGATTTTATTTCTTAATTTGAGAGAGAGGGAGGGAGAGGGGGAATGCATGAGCAGGGGAAGGGGGAGAGAGAGAGAGGGAGAAGCAGACTCCCCGCTGAGCATAGCTTCCATGCAGGCTCCATCCCAGGACCCTAGATCATGATGTGAGCCAAGTCAGATGCTTATCTGATTGTGCCAGCAGGGTGCCCCTTTGAGCCCAACACTCTACGCAGAAAATAGCTCACAGGCAAACCCAAAGCATCACAGTTAAAAAGTGGCAGTGCTGGGATCCCAGCCTAGTTCCCCAGGTCCTGGTCCAAGCTCCCTGCGCCTTCACTACATTCCGGTCCTGGAAAGAGAGGAAGGCTCAGGAATTGACCAAGAGGATGGACAATGGACACGGGAAGAGAGGGGCTGTAGGAGCAGAAGGACAAAGGCTCTTGGCCAATGGTTATAGGCACCACGTCTTCAAATCTGCTGGAAATTTAGCTTTCTCATAAGCAGGAGGCTGACTTTCTTATGTCTGGGTTCAGTGAATAGTTTTGCTTATTTAAAACGATTTTATAAAAATACACATACAATCACACCAAGAACTATATATTAGTGAGGCTTGAGATTATACCATACAGTTGACCCCTGAACAGTATGGGGATTAGGGAACCCCCACTCAGGGGAAAATCCATGTATGACTTTTGATTCCCACAAACTTAATTACTAAGAGCCTACTGGTGACCAGAAGCCTCACTGATAACATAAAGTGTCGATTAACACATCTTTTGTATGTTATATGTATTATACTCTGCATTCTTACAATAAAGTAAGCTAGAGAAAAGAAAATATTACTAGAAATATTAAGAAATCTTATTATGGAAAATATTATTGAGAAAATACATTTATAGTACTACACTATATATTTTTTTTAAATCCATGTATAAGTGGACCTGAGCAGTTCAAACCCATGCTGGTTAAGGGTCAACTGTATTCTACAATTCATCTGTAGAAAGAAAAAAATCAAAGTCATCTTTCCGTTCTCGAAGAGATGGGCTTGTTATAGGTAGAAGTGAATGGGACAGGTTATGACCTGCCGGATCTGTGGAAGATCACATGTAGACAGACATTCATGCACTCACATTCTATTTCAAAGGTAGGTCTTCTTCCAGAATGTTCTATCCCAACTGTTATGGGGCCACATTCTCTCCCCTCAATAGCTAAGAGTCTGTTCGTATTACACTTGATGAAATTTTTAGGGATTACTAAGAAATGCAGCTCACAGTAGCCCTTTCATCTGGACACCTCATGATTCGTAGCTGGAGAAGAGCGCTCTTGGATCCCAGTTGGAAAGCATGACGTAAGTGTAAACAGGGTCTAGCAGAGTGGCCTAGGTACACGGGAGTATTAGCGCCATTTGCAGTTTTTAACCTTAGGATGAACACAGAGCAACTGGATACAGTCCAGATGGGCGCCATAAAGACAAACACTGGGAACCCAGGAGTCATGAGCAAAGACACTGGCTTCTCTTAAGGTAGGGAGGCGATCATTTTAAGGATATAAAAGCAATGATAAGCAGCTGTTAGCCACGCGCTTTGGAAGACATTAAGTATCGTAACCATCGTAACCAGTCGCGGAAGAGTTTTTCTCAAATATAAGAAATAACACAATGAAGCTGGCTCGATACAGGGCCCGAGGTATAAAACCACTGTACATTACTCTAACTAAGAGAACAGTGGAAACAGAAACGTCAATGACTACCTCTAAGTGCTATTTTGAGAATTAGCACAGTGTCTGACACAAGCACGCACTCGATTAATGTTAGTTCTCTCTTTCCTTGAAGAAATGCAAGTGAGAAGATGGTGAGTATTTCCCCCCCCCCCCCGGGTCAGGCATTGACAAAATACAGCCAGAGGGTGAAATACCTGTTGGGGGAAATGTCTCTGGAAGCCCAGGCACGCCTGATCTTTTCTGTGTATGACAGGGCGCTATGGAGTTACCACGGCAGAGCTGAGTAGTTGTGAAGGAGACCTTATCACCTGCAGAGCTGAAAATATTTCGTCTCTGGCCCTTTATCAAAGTGTGCAGACTTCTGCTCTAGGATAAACACCAGCATGAATGAACTGTCCGGGGTTGTCCGGTGATAGCATTCTATTATTGCTTTGCGTAAGGGGCAGGGGACTCCGAAAATGAGAATGAATGAAAAGTCAAGGGCATCGGCAGGGGTTGGAGGTACCATTTCAGTGGAGTTTATGCCAATCGGGACAGGCAGCGAAGAAACACGGACTCCCATCAGTTTCACTGCTGAACTGACCAATGGAATAATGTTATCTTTACGTTCCCTACCCCAGAATAAAGGATCCTTTAAAAGAAAGAGGTATGAGACTGACAGTTGGGTCCTTTCTCTCCCACATGAGTCAGCTTTGACCTTTCTGACGAGCAAAGCTTCTCAACCAAATAAACACAGGTCTAACAGAGCACAACACCTGGGCCTTGGCTTTTTTTTCTTCTCCTTTTTAATAGACGAGCCCTGAGATGGAAGAAAAGATTCCCTTTCATGTCGGTGCCTTCATTTTGACTCTTTGTTCCCAAGTGCATGATAAGATCAGGGCTGAGATTCACAGTAATTGCCATTTCTGTGCCACTGTACGCTTTCTCCCCTGCCCCCCCCCCACCCCCTACCCAAAGCAAGGCTGATTTTATTCTCTCTAACTGGTGGACTCTTGTTTCAAAGGCCTTGAACTCCAGGGCGCTACTGAAAAGGCTTTGCCATGTCAAAGGGAAGCATCTTTGGCTGGAACAAAGCAACTCAAAGGCTCTATTCTCCCTGGTACTCAGCCTCCAAAATGAAAACAAAAGCAAGGCGAGGGCAAGACCAAGCAATCACTCCGCAGACACAGGAGGCCAGCGGCTGAGAACTTCCCAGCAGCCCCCACAACTCACCTCTCGGTGATGCTCTTGGCCGTCTGCAGGAAGCGCGCGTGATCGTTCTCTTTCAGAGAGTGCTCGGCCTGGGAGATGAGGGAGGCCGACCGCTCGATGCACTGCTTGCAGTTTGCAATCTGCTGAGCCAGTTTGCGAAGCCTCATCACCTTGAAAAGAGGCACGGAGACGGTTAGGTGGGTGGGCTCGCTGAGGGAACGCGCATCGGGCTGGACGCTTCTGGATATGTGCGTCCTGCTGCATGGAAAGTTGTCCTTCGATAAACATCCGAGAGCGGGCAGAGAACTACGGAAATCCCAGGTATGGGACTCCTGGCTTGGATAGTCTCAATCTCCTTAGAGAAGTGTCGCTAGTTTGTTTTATGAGAAAATACTCTATTGTGAATTGCTTCCTTGTTGATGGGGGAAAAAGGTGCTGCCTGATGGCAAGTTGCAAGGGTCACCAGACGTCTTCCCTCGCCATTCCACTCAATTACTAGAAGATGGCAGTGACTGCTGGGACCTTCTCTATCTTGGGTTTTTGGCTGGGCCGTCAAGAAACTAAGACATCCCAGTAGGTGCGAATGGCTTAAGCAAGGACCATTTTCTGAAAAGGTCTTTGTGATCCGCGTCATAAAACCGTGATGGGAAAACATGAGGTATTACTATTTCCCACACGATCTAAAACTCATGTGTTAAATTAACAGAAAGAGAGTGTTTTTTTCCATTGATTAATATTTTTCCTGTTGAGCAGATGAGAGAAAGCCAAAAAAAGCACAGCTGGGCCATTTCCCCTCACTGGGAACGTCATTTCCAGGCACTTTGTGCTTACTTGATAACTAAGAACTATTTTGATAAGCATTTCCCAGTCGGGATAAAAATGCATGTTTGGTTCCAACCGCCATTCCAATTCTTGATTCTGTCTTGCATGAAAACGACCCTCCGACGTAATTGACCGTGACCTCGGGGGTAGGCCAAGATAAGTGCACGGTAACCCACTTGACCATTCGCTCCGGTGTCTGAAATGTGCTGGGAGATGAAGCCCTCTGGCCAGAAGCCAAGTCAAAATTAGACTGCTAATTGGAATTGCCGTGTGCCCAATGCCCCATCCACACAGCCTGGGACAGGTCTTGGCCGGCTTCAGGATCATTCCGGAATGGAAAACAGCCCTGGGTGAAAGGGTAGGGAGGAGGCCAGTTAATCTGTCTTGCAGACAAGGCTGTCTCCGGCTCCCTCCAGAATTCCTGCTAACTCCAAGAAATTCCTTCTTTCTCCAAGTCATCATTATCATCCCCGTGCAACTTTAATCGAAGAAAAGGAAGGAAGGAGATGTCAGAACTTGAGGCCTGTATGGAACATCTGATTCCAGCTAGGTTGTACTGCAGCAAACAAAGGAAATTCATGCTGCACTGGGAGGCAGCAGCCGCAAGATTTCGGGCAAGAGTGAGAAAAATTCCTCAAAGGAGAGAGAGAGATAGGAAGTGTCAAAACCTTGGAGCAAACAGTCTATGAGATTAAGGCTGGTAAAAGACTTAACTCATTATAATTACAGCGACCAACCGCAGCAGATGAACTGTGTTCATTAGTTGAATGAAAGAACACTTTTTTGACACCAAATTGAATTTAGCGTTTAACATGGTTACATCCAGAGGTAAAGCTGAGAAAGGCCTAGAGTCCAATTCAAGATGTTAGAACACATCCAGCAGAGGAAGGAGAATAAGTTAGAGTCCCCAACAAACCAAGGGAATGAAATACTGAAGCATACAATGGAATCAAAGATGTTTAATACAATTCTAACGAAAGAAATACAAGGTCCAAATATTCCTTTAGAACTCTGTCGGTCACGTACCCTTTTGGTATGCCTATTTGTGATCCCACAGGCACCAATGCTTGAATTCTATTTTCTTCCTTCTTTTCTTCTACCATGACATTGGAAATTAAAAGTGGCATCAAGAGGAAAAGATAAAAAACGAAGCCAAACAACAGCCCTAAATCATGCATTAAGCTGAAGCAAGCCAAAATGAAGAGGCTCCTTTGAAAACACAGGAATGTTTTACAGAAAAACAACTGTTAGCATCATTTTAATTTTAGTTCAAGTGTACAGTTCCACTTCACACACCAGATCACAGCTTTTCAAAATGCTGTGCACAGGAATCAGGAGGAATCTTTGGAAAAGAGAAACTTAGAGATATCTGGGCTCACTCGCTAATATCCTCTAAAAAAGTTGTCATTGGCAGAGCGGCTCGAAACTGCATCTCAGCAGTCAAAGAGCTGCAGGTGATGGGTCAGTAGTCAGGACGAGCATGGTAAAACTAAACAGAAGAGAAGAGGAGAGGAGAGAAGAAAGTAGCAGAGTGCATTCCTGATAGAGAAGACAAATTCAGTTTTGCAAAAACTTTTCGTATGCGTGCATGCTGGGATTTCATGTCCTCTCTATTTTCTCCTGGGGGCTTCGATTAAAAAAAAAAAAAGAAAAACACTACTCTAAATCAGGTGTTCACAAACTATGGTCTGTACGCTGTATTCAGCACACATCTACCCGTGTCAATAAAGTTTTATTGGCATGCTGAAACAGTCATTCATTTATGACTCATCTATGGCTGCTTTCATACTACAACAGACACCTCTCCTCTTTACAGAAGAAGCTTGCCAACCTCCGTGATTCTGATCAAACGGCCCTAATCTGAATCACACTCCGGGACACGCTACCCTACTTGCTACAACACTTCAAAATCGGACACCAAGCATTTAGCGAAATACTAATTTCATCCTTGGAAAACACTTTTTTATATACTATTTTAAAAATCTGACAAGATGAATAAAACTTGGTATTTGAAAAGAAACACTGGATACTGACACGTAAGAAGATTCTTTATATGTATGTGTCATTGTCGCAGGGGTCATTTTTCCAAGTCGGCCCTGTTCTTTTGTTCCTTTGGGAAGTGTTGATTGCACGTTGTAATTTCAGGAATTCGCTCCATACTCATCATGGAACTAGCCTGCCAGTTGAATCTCCTTTCAGTGAGGACATGGGCCAAATATACCGATTTATTTGCTGTTTATTATACCTTGAACATGCTTTAAAAAGCAGCCCTTCACTTTTCTTTAAATGCATTTTGTCTCGGCATTGCCAATGAGGTCTGACTTGGCGTTTTTATAAGGTTCCAGAAAAGCCTGACCATGTAGTCCAGTTAATTATCTTACATTTTGGAGATTTAGAGTACATAAAAGCAGCGAAGAGAAGGGACCCTTTCTCTCTGTGGCTGCAGCCTTCTACCATCAATCTGTGCCTGAACATAAAACACGTAATTTACTCAGTCTGGAGTCTGTGGCCTGCTTTTCGTGTGTTGACATGAAATTTATCTCCTACTACCAAAGAGATAAGACAATTTTTTCCCAGGGAGTCTCATGGCTTGAGACTCTCCAGTCCCTCCAAGGAGAAAGGCTGCTGAGCTCTTTCTTTCGAAGACTGCACAATGGTCTGAGGGCAAGCATTACCAGTATGTACCCATGGGTCCCAACCCTGCCCACCTGGCAAGCCCCCAGCTGGAGGATTTGTGGTGAGTCTGTTTCCATCGGGTCTAATGGCCTCGTGATCCATGCCAGAGACACATGGCGGCCGAGGTCACGAGGTGAATGAAATTCACAGCGTGATCCCCATGGTCCTGCCAGTTCTTCTTCCAACTCCCCACTTGCAAGTGCTGGTGAGAGGGCCCCATGGTCCCATCTCTGGATTCAGCGTCCTCAAGACCGCATAGACACCAGCCTGGGCGCCCTCACCAGGCACCAAGTCCATACTTGGCCTTCTCTGCCCAGCACCTCTGCTTCCCAGTGCGCTGGTACTCACGCTCTTGTCTTCTTCGCAATGTATCTCTGACACCGCATGCCCTGGGCAGGGACTCAGTCACTGTGAATTCCGAGGTTTGGGATCCCCTAGCCTTCAGTGATGCACCAAATCGGTTAACTCACAAGAAAGCCAAACTGGGCCTCATCTTTCCCAAGTAACATTTGCTTTCTAAGACGGCCTTCTGAGAGAACGTCCTCGAGCAAGTGTGTACTTCTCAAAAAGGTCAATTTCAAACACACAGACGATTTTTAAAGTAATATGATGAATTTCCCTATGCATAGTCCCAGCTTTACCAAATCTCAAAATTTTCATCATATTAACATAAAAGATTTCTCAGAAGGAGGAAAAATATTATTGATAGCACAGAAGCCCTGTGTGTCTGTCCCTAATTTCATTCAAGTCCTTCTCCAGAGGAAAACACCTTTTTGAATTCAGGGCGTATCACTCCCAAGTATGTATGCGGGTCTAAACACTGATGGGATATTTTTTATAGTTTATCAAATTTTGTGTAACAAGTCTCACTCCATGCAAAGCACTGTAAAGCTTGTTTTTTTTTTTTGATTTGTCCATATAGATATGTATCACCCTAGTTCATTAATTTTGAGTTTTGAAGACTGTTCCGTTACATAAACATACAATTGTTTTATAAACAGCTTTGTTGAGATATAATTAGCATACAACAACCTGTATATATTTAAAGGACAAATCTGGTTTCCAAATATGTGTAAACCCATAAGATAATGAACACAGAGATCGTGCTTCCATTTTCCTTCTGCCCTTGGTAATTCATCCTATCCTACGCCCCCCCCCACCCCAGCCCATGCCCTGTCACTCGTCCCTAGCCAACCACTGATTTGTCTTCTGTCACTGCAGATTATTAGAAAGTATGTTTCTAGGGGCACCTGGGTGGCTCAGTCAGTTAAGCGTCTGCTTTCAGCTCAGGCCATGATCTCAGGGTCCTGGGATCAAGCCCCACATCGGGCTCCTTGCTCATCAGGGAGCCTGCTTCCCCCTCTGCCTGCTGCTCTCACCGCTTGTACTCTCTCTCTCTCTCTGACAAATAAATTAATTAAATCTTTTAAAAAAAGAAAAAAAAGAAAGTGTTGTTTCTAAACTGCCACATGAATGTGTTCATGTAGTACATACTATTTTCTGTCTGGCTTCTTTCCCCCACCATTAATCTACTGAGACTCATCCAAGTTGTTGCATGCATCAGTAGCTCATTCTTTTTTGTTGCTGAATAGTATTTCACTGTATGGATGTGCCACAAATTGTTATCCATTCATCTGCTGATGGACACTTGGGTCGGGGCTATTACCCTTGCCATTCCCGTGAAAATTCATGTACGTGTCCTATAGGGCCATATGCTTTCATTTCTCTTGGAAAACACCTAGAATGGCTGGATCATATGATAAGTGTATGTTTAACTACTTAAGAAACTGTGAGTTTTCCAAAATGCAGTTTTACTCTCCACGTATGAGAGTTCTAGTTCCTCCACGTTCTCAACAACACTTGGTATGGCCCATATTTTTCATTTTAACTGTTCTACTAGGTAAGTAGGGTATCTCCTTGAGGTCCTAATTTGCCTCACTGACTTTTCTCGACAAGTAATGATTTTGAACATCTTTCCATGTGCTCATTTGCCATCCATACGCCTTCCTTGGTAAAGTACCTATTCAAATCTTGTATCCATTCTGGTGAAGTTTATTGTTGTTTCCTTGCTAATGAGTTTTGAGAATTTGTTATATACCCATGTACAAATACTTTTCTGTTTCAATTAATAATTTATAAATATTTGTCTCCAACCTGTGGCTTGTCTTTACATACTCTTAATAGTGTCTTTTAGAGAGAAGTTCTTACTTTTGATGTAATACAATTATCTGTTTAATTTATAAATATTTCTCTGATGTTTTTAACCTTGTATATGAACAATCTTTGCCCAACTCAAGGCTCACCAAGATTTCCTCCCATGTTTTCTTCTGGAAGTTTTATCGTTTTGTCTTTCACATTAGGAACATCCATTTCGATTTGGTTTTTGTATATGGCATGAAATATGGCTCAAATTTCACATTCTTAGGTGCAGAATAGCGTCTCCTATGCAGAGGCTAAGACTTAGTTTCCAAATTCCCCCTACAGCTGAGTTGTCTTTGCAGTTTCGGTATCTACATTTTACTTCCCAAACTGCTAATTTGTTGTTTTCACATTTCCTTCTTTCTGATCTTATATCCTTTTCTGGCTTCACAAGTTTTTGTTCTTTTAAAATAGAAGCCATCCCTTCATTTATCACTTTAAACATCTTTTCTATATTTTCCCATACAATGAATTTCACCTGGGGTGAGAAAATGTTGATTTTGCGGGCTCTATTTTCAGAAATGCAAGATTTCTTTATATGCTTCAGCACTGTGGTTTGAGTTTCAGATTTAAAGGGAAGAAGTCATTCATAATCTTTTTCCTCCCTCACCCTCTTGGCTTAGTGCCCTCCCATCCCCTCCACCTACCCCGTGTTGCCATCAGTCTTCCTCACCTCTCTCCCCCTTGGGGGTCCTCATTCAGGGATCCTCTGCATTTCTGAGACTTCTCTTTTGAGCAGGTATCAGAAATAGTGTAGAGCCAGGCTCCAGCCTGACAACTTGTTCCAGACTCCCAGGACCGAAATCCCTAAAAACTATGACCCGACGTAGAGGCTGGCAATAATTTTTTTAATGCCTTTTAATGAACTGAGAAGCCTTCTACGGCCCATGGCATTAACCAACGAGCCTGATTTTAGTCCCCTATACCATCTGGAGCACTTCCAGCCACTTTATCCCAAGGCTTCAAGAACTCTTTATCCACTGGAATTGAAGGTGTTGCTGTTCTGGTCTCTTCCAGACCAAGTCCCCTCCCATGTTTTAGCCACAATCGCAGCTTTACAGGTTTGTCCCATCTCTGGCCCATGGAGACCTTTATCTTGTTTTGGGTCCAGCTGGATTTCTTTGCTTTCCTATTTCCCTATGTTCTCTTGTCACTGACATGTGTTTGGGGTGGAGTGGGTACACCAAAGCACCAACCCCATGTATCACCACGGCCGGAACTGTGGACATCCCTTTGCTACTTCAATTGAGCTCATGAGAGAAACCCCGATGTTGCGAAGTTAAGCAAGGGAAAGGCATGCCGGCCAGGCTGAATGAGGGCCCCCCAAAGATGCTTCCATCCTAATCCCACGAGTTTTTAAACTATGTCGCTTTACATGGATAAGAGATGTTGCAGATGTGATTAAGGCAAGGACCTTGAGAGAGGGGGGTATTATCCTGGATGATCTGGGGGATCCCAGAGTAATCAGAAGGGTCCTTACAAGAGAGAACCAGAGAGAACTGTGCCAGAGAAAGAGATCTGAGGAGGGAAGCAAAGGTCAGAGTGATGTGATAAAGAAACCAGGAGCCGAGGAATGCGGGTGACCTCTAAAAGCCAGAAAAGGCAAGGGATGGATTCTGCCCTAGAGCCTCCGGAAAGAGACAACACTGCTGAACCACTGACTTTAAGCCCAGTGAGACTGATCTTGGACTCCTGACATCTGGAGGAAGGTCAGATACTAAATCTATTTTGGTTTAAGTCACCCAGTCTGCGATATTTGTTATAGCAGCAATAAGAAACTAATATTAGCATTGAGAGCTGATCCCTGTACCATGTAAAGGCAACAAATTCCCTCCCACATGCATATTAATGAATTGCAGCTGTATTTCAGGCAATCATACATCTGAGGACCTGGAAGATGTCAGGTATTAAGAGATGTACACATCTGGTACATGATAATGGAAGAGGAAAAATGTCCTGGGAGGATTCCAGGTGGACACTCAGTGCTCTTCCAAGTTGTACAATTTGTACGTGGGGAAAAGTCGCCGTTCAACACATGAGTCAGTTCTTGGCCAGGGAATGAGTTCATATTAATTTCTTAATTCACCGTAACAGCTTCCAGAGCTATCTGACTTAACTTTTCTGATCACCATCACAATTTACATGCATAAATATTTTTCAACTTACATAGACAAAGAACTCTGAAACATTATACAGGATTGAAAGTATCCTTTAAAAGTGGTAGAAAACAGAGAACAGCACATATATTAGCTATTAGAACCTCTGTGTACCACTTAACTGTTGTTAATTTAATTATACATATTTCATTAAAGTATGGTTATGAGCAGTAATAATAGAACTTTATGAATTTATTGGATCTTGAATGAATGTTTCTATTTTTTTAAATATTTACAAAATTACCTCTTGAGGGTGGCAGAGAAATGAGTAAAATAAAATGGATCTCAAGTATTTCAATAAAAACCATAGGAATTTAAAAGATACAAACATTAAAAAAGAATTTCTATTACTATATCCACAAAGGGATATATGATATAGTGAAACTATAGTAGTTTTGCCACCATGAAATTATACTTGTCTGAATTCACTCCCGGGCATGAGAAAACACTGCAATTTCTATATAAAGTCTGATTCACTGAAACATTTATTTAATACTGTGTTAACTGCTAGGATATAGCGATAAATATGAAATGAACTCCTCCGCTGTGGAACCCTCCTTCTCATAGAGAAGAGAGATAAAAACAGTGGCTATAATAGCCCAGAGCTCCAAGCTACCCCTGGAGTTCAGTAATGGAGGAGAGATAATGTAATGTAACCCTCTTCTTACAGATGTGCACAGGAGACGGTGATGATACAAAGAAAGGGGTGGAGAAAAACAATGGCCAACCAGGGGCCTTTGAGCACTGTCTTAAAGACTTAAGAGGAAACTGTGGAAAATATAGAAAAGGGAGGGTATTCGATGTTTCCTAAGCTACTGAAGTGCATGGGAGTATGGTGTTTTCTCCGGGTAGAGAATATAAAATCTTCTACCCTAGAAATCATACCTTCCCTTCTTTGATCTTGGTTCCAATAATCTGTCGTCTCTGCTGAATGATCTCAATGAGAAGATCACACTCCTCCATCAATTTGGCTTCTTGACGTGATGCATTGACCTACAGGATAGATAGAATAGTAAGCATTTATTTGGCGTTCGACTTTCAGTTACATGCTCTTTAATAAAGACTACTATGTTTCTGGTAATCACTAAAAAAGATATTTTAAATGTTAACTCTTCTTCCAATTATACAGATATGGAAAATACAGGACTTACATGTCCATTCCCTATCTTGCATCCTTGGAGAACATTATTATCCAATGGTAGCAGTCTTTTCTACAAAGCCACACTTGGCTTCAGAATCTTTCCTTAACCCAACATATATGTAGCTATTACCAATTAGTTGGAAATCGATGCTTGAAATATATTTGTGATTCCTGCTTTTATAACTTGAGAGAAAGTATAATTTTGGCCAATTAAACAAAAAAGTAAGTTTAAAAAAACAGTATTATTCCTTTATGGAGAATAAATTACTATTGACATCCATTGAACAAATTTTCCAGAAGCAAAGAAGCAAGATTATATCACATTTACTTAACTTTTCTTTTAAATACGGACATTGACTTTGTATTTCATCACCAAGAAAACATCAAAAAAGAAAAAGGATGGTTGACTATTTTATTAATCTTAGGACATAATTTAAGATTTTCCTTCTGGTATACTTCCAGAAGACCGAGGCTCTACAATGAACACATGCCATTCTCTAGGAAAGGTAGATGATTGTAGAATGGCTTGTATTTGAAGTTTTTAAGACTCATTATATGCAAGGGAGGATGACAATTAGCTCATTCTTGGCAACAGGGCTTGGGAAATACTCTGCACATGCTATTTCCTCCACCTCATGACAATTCTGAAATGCTTATTCGCAAACAGAGACCCAGAAATCACAGCTGTGGGAAATGGAGAGAGCCTGCAGGAGTTTTATGATTTTAACATAGCACAGAAGTTGCAGTGTTACAGAGAATGACAATAGCATCATTGATTACTCTAGCATATCTCTGGGAGGAGACACAGCCCAGTCATTAAGCCCGTTTGATTTGGGATACTTTATTTAACTGCAGTAATTCCATTCTCTCCGAATGAGATAGACTGGAAGTAGGGTCAGAAGTTCAGGATAAAAATCCATTGATGGCTGTTCAGAGAAAGCATGTCCTGTGTCCAGAGGCCAAGATTCCTTGAGTTTTATTCCTGATCCTTGCAAGACACAGCAGAGAGAGTACTCAAGATATCTTCTTTTTGAGAAGATAATGGTCAGTGGCCATCTGCGGCAAACCCCAAGATCAGATCCTATGTCGGATTAGCACACAGACTTGCTGGCTAAATGTTTAATGAACAAAATTACAAGATGCATTTTGATGGACAAGTACAGAACATGGAACTCAGGCTAGTATCTCAAGGAAGTTCATCACTGGGCTCAATTTCTCTTACCATTACTTTTCTGTTGTCATTTCTAGTTCCCTTTGAGGATTCCCAAATAAACTTTGCTACCCATGGAAATATTTACTCAAAATGCCATTACTCTCAAGAAAGTTCTTCTCTTTCCCCTTGACCTCAAACTGAATTTAATAACTGACTACAACTGAGCTGTGAAAAGGATAGAATCATATAGAAACCAGGGCACATTACGATGGAGAAAGTGAAATTTCTGGAAAGCGGCATCTAATACTTAAAAAGTATGTTCCAGAATGAGCCCTAAGAGCAAAACCACTCAAGCGTACAATCAAGGTAAATCTAATGGGATGCAGGCTCCCTAACGGCAGGGATCTTTGGCTGTTGAATGAAATGAGGCATCTTTCCCAAATCTTTTCATTTTCTTGGTGATGCCCTTTGGTGTTTTTTCTAAGTTTAAGTAATCTTTACACCCCCACGTGGGCTCGAACTCATGACCCCGAGATTGATGAAAGTTTTTAATTTTGATAAAGTTCAATTTACCTACTTTTCTATCGTCATTTGTGCTTTTGATGTCATAGCTAAGCAACCTAATCCAAGGTCATGGAGATGTACACTTCCACGTTCCTCTAGAAGTTTTATCTCTCACCTTTAGGTTTATAAGCCATTTTGAGTTAAGTTTTATGTATGATGCAAAGTAGGGTCCAACTGTATCTTTTCACTAATGGATAGCCCGTTGTCTAAGCACTGTGTATGGAAGAGACAACTGGAAGACAACTCAAGTGTCTTAGCACTTTTGTCGAAAATCAACTGAGCGAATCACGAAGTCCTCAGGTTTTGATGTTGTTGCTAACATATTCTGTGCCGAATGCTATTCTGGCTTTGAGTAAACCTGATCCAACCCCACTGGTAGTTCTGGAGTGGGTGCCCTGAAATGTGGCGTGGAGTACTAGCTCTACGCACTTGCGGGCGGACGATATTGGGAAAGTCAAGGAAAACATCCATTTCTAAGTTCTCCTATTTTGTAAAATGAGGTGAGTAATACCTACTGTCTTGGCCATGTGGGATTATTGTAGTAAATATGTGGAATAATATGTGAGGAAACAAGTAACACTGTGAAGTCATAGATCTGAGGCGGTAGTGTCCATACTGCGGAGTCATTTTGCTCATAGACTACAATTTAGTTTGGGATCCATTTCACTCTGAAGATCATTGGGATTGGAGTTACTCTATGATGGGAAAAGTGGTCCAGCTGCCATCATCACATGGGGTTCCATTTAATCCCAATTCTGATCATTTGACATTTATGATGGATAGATTTGTTTTACCAAAAAAAAGGAGACCGAAATCTACTTTGTTGAGCCAAATATGTTTTGAGAAAGCTGATACCACAACCACCACGGCCCCAAAATATAAATTCCCAGAAATTTGGAAACATGATCTGTTCATTTTCAGCCAAGTATTTTCCTTAGATCTTTCAAAAAGCACAGAATTGACTTTCCTTTAAAACCAGGAAAGTTGAATCTCTTCTTATACTTTGATGAAGCTTCCAAATTTTTGTAACCCTAGCATTCTTATATTCCAAAAGGTACAATAAAATAAGTTGAATGCTATCCTATATTTCTAAAATTCTTCCACTACAAAGAAATTTTCCACAGTTTTGCTGTTTTATATGTCACTTAAAAGAAGTTAATGATTTGAAGTTCACTTCTTCTAAGGGCTATTAACCCAAATGCGGCATGGTTTATTGGTTGCTAGCAGTGCGCTCAGGTGTTTCTAGTTCCCAAATTTGGTTTGGAAGCTGGCAGCTCCTGGTTATGATCTCAGCTTTCAATTTCAGATTCACATCTTTTGACTCAGAATCACTAAGGCCAATGGAAGTGCTTTGAGTAGAGAGCCAACCTAAGGATGAAAGAAACAGCCCCCAAACCTGCTTTCATGGACCTCTACTTCCACCTTCTTCATCCCTACCTTAAAGACAAGAGTGGGATGGGGCTAATTAGCAATGATGGCCAGTGGTAGGTGACTACTGGACCCCACCTCTGGACTACACTGGAAATAGGGCACATATTCTTCAGCGCCCTTGATATTACAGGACAAAACGGAGCTTCGAATGAGGCCTTTTCCCATTCCAGGCTTCTCACCACTAGCTTTTTTTCTCATCTCAATTATACTCATGTGTAAATGTCACCTCGGTCCCTCATGAGAAGAAGCTCAGTTACCTTGACCTCATCTCTCTTCTGGCCTCACCCATGTGCTCGGCACGCAACCTCTCTACGTCTGCAGCTACGACTTCTCTTCTCATTCTGAAACACATCATTCCCCCCATCACTGTTTCTAGTCCTTAGTACTAACTTCACCCCTTTGCAAAATGCTCTAAAGTAATTCTTCTAAAGTTAGACCCAAACTCAATTCTGGCAGAAGTTTTTTCTTCTTTCTACTTTTTAGGACCTGATGCCTTATCTGAGACTACAAGCGACACAGCCAGTGTCATGTAAGCTCGAGGCTACTTGTATAAAACACTTGTGGCGTGGCCTTCACTGTGAAAGACCCACATACAACTACTGATTCATTCATCGGTCTATTCATTTATTCATTCAAATAATAGCAACTGGGTTCCCAGGGTGTCTCAGACAGCATTCCAAGCGCTGGGAAGGCAGGGCGTCCAAGATAGACAAAGTTCCCATTATCACAGAGTTTACATATAAGCATAGGGGAACAGGCTGAACAAGTCAAGAAACAAATAAAAATTTGGGATCATGACAAGTGCCTAGAGGAAATTAAACAGGGTAATGTGACTGAACACGGCTGAGAGTAGGGTCCATTTTATGGGCTGTACAAGAATTCTCTGATAAGTCTCTGCAGGGGTGAAAAGGAACCAGCCAAAAGACATAGAAAAGGTATTTGCTGGCACTCCCAACTCTGCTTTTAACGGGAACTCCCCACACAAATTCTACAGTCTAGCTTCATTATTTGTAGATTCCGTATTTGCGATTTACGTGCTCACTCCAACTTAAGGATTAAGTTGTAACCCCAAATCAATACTTGCGGCCTGTGTTCGTTTCAGACATGCTCAGAGCACGAGAAACACATGAGTCACCCTCCTAGCACCCAGGTGAGGTTGAATAAGGACACACTCGGCCTTCTTGCTTCAGCTCTTCTATAATCTAAGGATGGCGACAACAGGGACAGCGCACTGCGGTGTAAGAAGCTTTGGCTCTGGTGCCAGGTGGATGGGTTTTGAGTCCCAATTCTGGCACCTGGGAATGGGTCAGCCTCAGGCAAGTCACTTAGCACTCTGGGACCTCCTTTTCTCTTTCCCAAAACAAAGACAATAGAATCTACCAGGATGACTTGCTCTCGAGATTTAAGATTATATAATCTAGGTGAGGAGTGTGTGTGTGTGTGTGTGTGTGTGTGTGTGTGTGTGTGTGCGTGCATGTGTGGCTCTTTCCCTAAAGACCAATGGTTTGGTATTGGCCAATTCAGTGTTCCTGGCAACTTTCTAGACCCTAACTACCACAAATGATGAGAATCGATGGATTTACCTACTACCTAGTGTGCCCATAATGGTCCCAAGGACTTGGGGAGCAGGAAAGGTAGAATGAGAAGGGAAATTACATAAGACACAGAAGAACAGCCTGGCTTGGAGAGTGGGTACCCCACTCT